GGTGAGTTCGAACATTTTTCTTATGAGTACAGTTTTGATGGACTCGGGGTTAGGTTTCACGTTTAAGTAGATATAAATCCGCATGATAAACTAAAATCGGGTATATGACTTTGTGAATATACCGGTAATAGCGCCATAAACCATGTCGAGAGCCGCCATCGGTTTGTTCGTGGCAGGAGCTGCCATGAGGTGGTAAGAACTGCGACTCAGCAAATGAGCCCAAACATTAGCCTACATGAGATCCTATGCATTGATCCACTTACATGGTGACGTGATAATAAAATGCGCTATCGTAATTTATCACAGCTGGACCTTAAATATCTATCAGTTTCATCAACCTCAACTCCATGTGAAAGAGTGTTGTCGATTGCATGCCATTTTCTGAAAGACAGTTGTGGTCTGGCTAAATAGGCAAACGCGTAGATGCCATTGTGTTTATGAAGGAAGTTGCTGATTTATGACTACGTGACATACATTGCAATAGGATTTCATATACTCGAATTAGCTTTGAGTGCTGCCTCTTTGTGAATTGAAGCCTTGGAAATGTCTGCTATTATACATTAAATTCGATGCGTAACAATGGTGCTCTGTTTTATTTTTCGTGACAAACTTGTAGGTCCTTGTGTTTCGTTTCGAAGAAAAATTTCGATTCGACTTCGAAACATCAATATTTCGAAAATGCCCAGCTCCAAATATGACAGATTGTCTACCCATACTACTTAATTTTGACCTAAATGTTCATATATTTGAGCATCGATCTCTTGTTCACTTATGTATATATATAAGGAAAGGATCTGGAGTGAATTCCTTACATATAACTTTTATTCAACTAGACTAAATACCAAAAACGCGACAGTAATGACAAGTTTAACTTATCACATGAAACGTACTGTCCCATGTCGTTGTCATTGATAAATCTACACGAATAATGTAAAATTAATATCTACAGTACGGATATTGCCTTCCTATTTCAACTGAGACACTGTTTAAATTTCGTATTATTGTAATATACTTAGTATTTGATAATGTATAACCAATTCGATTTTACCATTGTGTCATTTTAAAGGTGGGTTATCACGCAAACCTTTTTGTGGTAAATTTAATTCTATATCATTTTTTAGGGTTTTTGTTTACCGCTTGCATAAAGTGGACTTTGTTGGCGAGACAGAAGTTAACCCTTTTGCATTCGAACGCAAATCAGTATGTCTACACGATAAATCTGTCTCGATTTACAATACATTTTTATACGATGATCATCAATAATAAATAAATATATAGTAATGAAAAATGAAACTTCGATTGAAACGCGAATATTCGTGATTGACTGTGAGTGCAAATGTGCTTATGTGCAAATGTCCTTAGTTACAAATGTCTGTGCGTTATTGTGACTTATTAGTACGTCGATTTCATCCTGAACTCATATATGACAATTTTACCAGTCTAATTTATATACCGATACTATTTGTTTTCTTGTTCACACTACTAATAACAAACCCATGAGTTCAGCCTAACAGCAACCGGTACACCCTGACTGATCATTTGTGAACGAATGTTGAAGTACGGTTGGGAAAAAACTAAGATTCCGTGTGCACTCTAGGTCTAGAATAAGAGGAACGTTTGGAAATTTGCCCTTGCATATCAGTGGCTGATCACTCAGAAACTTGTTCGGAGTGGAATAACAAAACCGCCCTCATGGGGCTAACGCAATATTTATAACAATAGGCATCAAACAATGGACATTCGCGATAAAACATTAACTGACATGAATAAATAGTATAGACCAGGGCTTCCCAAACTTTTAAGCTCGCGACCCCTTTTGATATATATATTAAAATTTGTTCAAGGCCCTTGTTCAAGTTATTTATGCTAAACAGTTTGAAATATGCGATGAAATATTGCAGCCGTGGCGAAATGTTTGTTTATGCAGGCCTAATGATGAATTTCGATGTCTGCCCAGTCTAGGCTTGCACGTAATTGACAAAAATCAATTCCGTAATTACGTCAAAATTGATTACGTAATGACCCCGTAATTGCGATATTTTTTCACACATTTAAAAACCTATCATAACAACCATTTGAATCCACTTCTTTTCCGAATGGGACATCGAAGCTCGATTTTCATATTCCTGGCAGTACTACTCGTCGGCGAAATATGTTAAAGACGAATATCAAAGAGTATATTCAAATTAATTTTATTTTGATTTTTAACTTTTGTGTTAGCTTTGATTTTCCTTTATCACCTTCGCAAATTAACCGTCCCAATTTTATGCGATCAATTTTGTCATTACCGACACTGGTATACGGATATTTATGAAACGATAGTTGACTTTTTTTTTTAAATCGGGTTTCGTATTAAATAAAAATTTCGGGATTCCAATTTATTAAATCTACGACGAGCGTATTCTCTCGTTTGGTTATACTTGCGCTTGCCTCGCGACAAAGACTTCTCATTGCACCGTTTTTTACATTATCCCACTTCACCACCTAGTTAGCAATTTATAATAATTATTGATGCCGACTTATTGACGATATTCCGATTACCATGCCTCATTTTACATTAAATCATTCCGCGTCCTAAATGTTATAACATTATTTGCGATAAATTTGTATCAAATATTAATTATTTGCGCATAATTTAAATGCCGTACTTATATGACATGCCTTTACCGAAAATACAAAGTTATATCGCAAAACAATGCATTTAGTGACATTTATTTTGCACTAACGAAAAAATTAACTCGTTTTTCTAACTCAAATCGACGATGCTATCGCCCAAAATTGACACAAGTTTGGTCGAGTGGCAGTGATATTCGAGTCCGCGATAAATAAAAATAAGTTGCTGCATTTGGTAAAGACAGTTGATCACATTCTCTCCTTTTGTGCGCCCATAACGGCGGTAAAATTCGTTTCATGTCTGTTTCATGAAGAGAAAGAAAAATACGACTTCCGGAATTGCAATCAACAATCACACATTCTTATTTATCATTCATTATCAGCGCCGAAAAGATACCATATCGTGAAGACAAAAAAGTCTGGCGGTGTTAATTGCGTGATAATGCAGAGAATAATATCGTTTTGACCGGGAAACCAAGATGCGCAATCGTAAAACGACGCTGCTGCTTTTTTGTAGATGAAATTGCACATTAAAATTTTCTTTCAAACGGAGGTGGCAACGCGTCATGCCTCACCCCACCTCCGTAACAAAAGAGAGAAAAACGACTGAGATTGACGCAACTCTACTTATTAAACTTTCATTTTTTACAATCGACGGAATTGAATACTTTGAAGAGAGCTCGTTTCAATCGTGAAAGAGCTCGACAAATATTTACGACTTTACGTAATTCGTAACTTCCCTTCCGTAACTCGAAATAATTCCGTAAATCCGTAAATTACGTGCAAGCCTACTGCCCACCGAAGACCTGGTCCTTATCCGGGATTGTTCACTCTTATTGATCAAACTTAGCATAAAGCAGCGGTTTGCAGCGGCACCAAATCATCAAGGAAAAAACTAATGGCGCACCTCCGATAAAAAAAATATGCTGCCGCAAAATAAAACACATGTTGGTCATCGTTAATATGCATTTTATGCCTTTTGAGGTTTTTAAACATGTAGGCCTAAAGAATAAAGGCAAAAGGTTAACCTTTCTTTCTTAACTCCGCCTAGTTTTTCTTTAAAATGCTCATAACTCACTCATGTTCGATAAACTCGGTTCAGCAAATGAATAAACTGCGGCCAACGAAATTGCAGCATTAGGGTTTCCCTGCTAAGTAACAGAAAGTAAATAATATTGAACGGTAAAATGAATTTGATTTGTATACACATCATTTGCTTTATTGAGAAACAATAAAACATTTAGAATAAATAAAATTTGTAAAATGTTTCGAGGCGCACTGAGCAAATCGCCTTCCGGAACCGCTAGCATAGCGATTAAAGTCGGCATTGTTATGCAAGCACGCATATATATTGGGTCTAACGATCAGAATATGCATTGTTATGCAAGCGCGATGATTCTACCGGTTTCCCCCAAAATAAGTCCAAGCCGATATTTTTGAAAATGTTTTCAATACAACCGCTCGCCTTGAAAAAAGACTTCGTCGATAGCGCAATTTGTTTACCTAATCCCGTGGAAGTTTCAATTCTGCTAGGGCGTCGCAAAATTTCGTGATGGTGTCATAATTAATGAAAATTCGGTTTTCTGTAGATAACGATTATTTTCCTTGATTCAAAAAGCGTTTCGCACGACATCTCCTTTGCGATTTCGTATTTAAATAAAGCAGGCTTTTTTACCATGGCCCAATAAATGTGATTTCACTGACTGTTGTTAGGTTTTGTTTGTTCGTTTATATAAAACTCATTGCAAAAAAGGTATTATATTGAAATGTATCAATAGCTTAGTACGCGTCCACTTGAAAATATGTTACGGCAATGGGCCTGCTCCTTCAGGACTCAGACACAGAAAAGACGATCGTAAAATGGGTCACGTCAATCAAGCCATCGCGTCGCTTGTTCGTGCAGTGCCTCGTACGGAAGTCACAGCTCACTTTTACTTGCAAAAAATTGTAATTGTATGAAATACCTCGTTTGGAACTCCTACATCCTTCCATATGGCCCATAATGTCCGATATAAAGATAATGAATAGAATATCCTTGAATTGAATTCACCAAATACGTTTCACGAACTTCCAACTTCCACCAAAAAATAGTTGACTAGCGGATATCAAATCAATTTTCCAATATTAATTTCAGAATATTTCAATAACGTATGGAAGTTTAATGATATCAAATTCGAATAAATCCATAGTTTATGCACCATAATCATATAAATATATTCATTCCCAAGCTTTCTTTCATATCATGAACTAAAAATTTCTATATGTGGATGTCATTATCATCAGTTTTATCGACATCGATTATCAGAATTTGATTAGGTCATTTCCACGGAATTCAATGCAGTATTAATTTTTATGTGTCGCCACGAGGAAGACTATTGTTAACTTTTTTTAAAATATCGGATGTAGAAGTGTATAAAAAGCCGTCATTTCTCACTGTAAATCACAGTTTCGTCGAATCAAACTGAGACAAACAACAGGAAAGATGAAAACAACAATTTTGATTCTTCTCATGCTGGGACTTGGCATCAAGTAAGTTTTTTCGCATTTCATTTACGCTTTATATCAATTGCCGAGAGAAATTGCCAAGTAAATCCATTTTCACGACGAAATAATCATTCCAACTTACCGACTTCCGCACTTAACAATTCAAAGCATTTCTTCTTTCGAACTAAGAAATATATTTGAACATTACTCTCCCATTTTTATTATCCGTTTATTATATGAAGCACTTTTAAATGATATGAAAATTCTATGTAAACTTTATAATATTTTCATTATATTTATCAGTGACTTCTCTAATGTCATGATCATCTTTTGTTTTTAGTGCAAAAGCCCTGGAGGAAAGTAAGTTATAAATTATATTGTCATTATAACTCATTTAAATTTACTTTGTCCTATTTATATATATGGTGAGAGGTATATTATAAGATTTGGTTCGCGACTCTATTGGCCAGGTAATACTATTCGTCCTGTTTTAAAACACACAACAGGCGCTGCATAAAACTGGCTTACGGCAATTTTTTGGGGTATATTATTGTATTCACCAACATCAGATGCGATCGACTACTCGAGACGTGGCGATCGGCCGGTCGATCGCGATCGAGGTATTGGCCACCCCTGATATATATATATATGAACACGGGTTGTGTATTCGAGAAAATTTACCACGAACTCTCGAACCCGGGTTGAAATTTTTTGGCACCAACTCCGGATTGAAGGCAGTGTGTGCAAGTTTATTTAATATTCTGCTGGAAACGCTTAGTAAATTTAATGCTCCTTGAGTTTCTGTAGTAAATTTAGAACTCTTTCATCACAATTAAAATTCTCCAAAAAATTCAGAATTTTGACTCCAACTCCGTTCAGTTGTGATGATACGACTCATGTGAAAACATGCCTTACTCCGACCGCACAATACTAATCGGTGCATTCGAGCTGTCTTGTTGGACACGACCTATGGATCGTTTTGTTGAAATTGTTGTTGGTATTTTTCTTCAACGTCATTAAAAAATTTCCCATTCTTATTACCCACGAGACATTGCTTTGAAACTTCCAGCGAATAAATATAGCCGTTGTCGCCAGAAGACTATTACTTTACTTTTTTATAAATCTACCTTGAAATCTGGACTTTAACCAAAATTTCGCTGTATTAATATTAATTTCTGGGAACACGGTTTTTAATCCGCCAAATGTTACGGCTGTATGTACTTTCGCTAAAAAATGTTTTGTAAAAGCATTAATTTCAAAGTAGTGAAATAACGTGTGTTGGTAAGACGGAATCACATCGGTTCGACAAATCCAATTTACGTATAAACTATGTTTTGCTGTCGATTGGTTTGGTTTTAAAGGTCATCTGTGTGACATAGCTTCAAGAATTCATAAATTAACGCTTTTTTGTCTTCAGGTCAACCGGACGAAGACAAGTTTTATTATCATCATCGTTATGCCTTGGATCAACAAGACAATGAAAAGGGGTATCGTCCTTGGTACGACCATCAAGATAATGGAGTAATGGAAAGTACGTTATAAATTATATTGTCATTATAACTCAATTTAATGTATTTCGTCCTGTTCATATATCTGGTGAGAGATATCTTATAAGCTCTGGTTCGCGACTCTATTGGCCAGGTAATTTGAAGTTGTCAAAGAGAGAAAATTTCTGCTTAAAATCAATCACTTCCAATTGTTTCCAAATTTTCTATGAGCCCACTTTCACCTATAAATTTGCCTAAAATTTACTATTTTGAAAATGCGTCACTAAAAATAATGTTGGTGAGCCATTACCTTACGTGGGGTGTGAAGACATTACTTTTTGTGTTCATATATATGAACATGTGTTGTGTAATCGAGGAAAATGTACCACTGACTCTCAAATCCGGGTTGAAAATATTTCGGCACCAACTCCAGATTGTAAAAAACTTGGCAATGTATACAAGTTTTATTTAATATACTGTTAGAAACGCTTAGTAAACTCAATGCTTCTTGAGTTTCTGTAGTAAAATTTTTATTCTTTCATCATCATTAAAATTCTCCAAAAAATTCTGAATTTTGACTCCAACTCCGTTTAGTTGTGATGATACGACTCATGTGAAAACATGCCATACTCCGACCCCACAATACTAATCGGCGCATTCGAGCTGTCTTGTTGGACACGACCTGTGGATCGTTTTGTTGAAATTGTTGTTGGTATTCTTCTTCGACTTCGTGAAAAAATCGCTTCGCTCATTAACTACGGGACCGTTGGACCTAAGATCGTTGTTGTAGCTAGAAGACTATTACTTTATTTATTCATAAATTCACTTTGATATCTAATATTTTATCCAAAATTTCGCTGTAATATTCTTAATTCATGGAAACACGGTTTTTATTCCGCCAAAAGTGACGGCTGACTCCTAATTTGATTTTGCTACAACAACTGTTTTCAAGCCTCAACTCAATATTACTTGGAACAATCTTAGGTCTATACTTAACTCTTGACTCTAAAAATTTAAAATTCTTTTTTGATATGAATAAATTGCCAGTGCTGTTACTCTAACAGGCAATTTGTGACACAAATTATTCCAATACTTTGTGAACGTCCATTGCCGTTACTACTTTAATTTTTCGTGGCTTTTGCTCATAAAAATGGTTTGTAAAAGCATTAATTTCAGAGTAGTGAAATAACGTGTGTTGGTAAGACGGAATCATATCGGTTCGACAAATCGAATTTACGTATAATTAAATATTTTGAAGCATAAACTATGTTTTGCTGTCGATTTGTTTGGTTTAAAAAGTCATCTGTGACTTCATAACTTCAGGAATTCATAAAATAACGCTACTTTGTCATCAGGTCAACCGGACGAAGAAAAGATATTTCATCTCATTAGACATATATTCGGCTACGACCAACAAGACAATGAAAAGTACTATTATCACCGATATTGAACAATAAAAAAGTTCTAAACAGCTACGCGACTTGAAGACGGACGGACCCGGCAGAACATAGATATTTCTTTTCTTCATAGATTAAAGGCTAGCCTTATTATTCAGAATATAACACTATATTGCATTCAACATTTGTATGTTTATTGTGTTTGGAGTGATGTTTTGGGAAATTTGACTTTCACAAAGGGCATAAGTTAAATTTTAAGCAGCGCGCAAAGATTGATCATGTGAATATTTTCAGCGCCATTAAAGCGCCATTAAACCATTTGCACTTAGCATCAACTTTTCTGCGTTTTGTTGCCATTTCTAATCCTATTTAAATTACAGGCTCATTAAACGAGTAATTGTGAATTATATTCTTGTTAGGGTATAATATAATTCAGTTTACACGTGTCTCGCAATAAATTCTGTTACGTAAAAAATCTAATCATCAAATCAGCTGTTTTGTTACTATAATTCAGTGTAGCGTCGCGGACCGGATTACATTTCTCCGCGGGCCAGGTCCGTAGGTTGCCGACCCTACTTTAAAGCCAGCACTGCAAATCTATATTGTAATGGAAACCGCACAAAGCCGGAGAAAATTCCACCCGGCCGAAATTTTCCATAGAAATGTTCAATACAGAAATTTGGTTATTTTACCAAAGAGTATCATAGTTGTCCTGAATTTGTTAATTTCGTTTTACATTTCGATAAAAAGAGTATATTCAAGACTGGCTGAAGGCTTCGATAATTGGATAACTCAACTCAATGATAGCACATCGCGTTCAACTTGACGTCTTGGACAAAAGAAAACACATTCAATCTGTAAAGATTGAAGCAGTGGTTCTTAAAGTATGGGTCGCGGAAGGTCCAAAAATGAGTCGCGGCAAGGGCGCGGATGCAAGGGCGGCGTATTGTTGCATCACAATTAATATATGCCAGTCACAGCATGGTAAGTTTGTGTCCCTATAACTTTTCTATAGAGAACAGATTCCTAGACAGACAAAAAACGAGAACAAAAAACACTGTAACAAATTTTAGATTTCGATTTTGTTTTTATTAGTTAACATGAACATCTTGAATTTAACAATAATTACAAGCATGACGTAGTGACTAGAAGCAGCAATGGATATTCACAATGAACTATAATGGTGCGCGTAGAGGCATGGGTGCATAATAAAGACTTAAATAAACTAAAACTTGAAAAAAAATTCGAATAAAATAGTTTCAGAGATAGATAGATTTGTTAGCACAAGTACGATCCACTATTTTCTAAACTTCTTCGTGCGCGATACTTTCTGCGTACGGTACTGGAAACCGGTTTCACAAGTCTTTAAACATGTTCATCATTCGAATTACCTCATTTTGGCCTAGAAGATATTACATTTTGCTGTAATCTGCATGATATGAGTTCTTCGGCAATGCGGCATAGTAATTCAAATAACAATGTATTATTTTCCGGTACTCCGGATATATATATGTGAAACAATATGACGGACACCGGAACGTAGAATGTGTACCAGGTTAGGGTTAGGCCATAATTTTATTCCAATTTTCCTTATCTTAGTTCTATTACGAGTTCGGGGACTAGCCAAGTGACTCCCGTCGTATTTAAACCTTAAATTCTAAACTTAGTAACTACACCAATATACTAATTATCTGGAACACAATCAATCTTTTCATTCGCACGACTCACTCTGCGTTAAAAGGTATTTGTCCGCTATGTATCAATCAAAATGGAGTAATTGACAAAAACCCGGAAGAGATCGATCTAACATCCGTGAATTTACGACATGATAACGTTAATCTATGGAACATTTTAAGTGTAATAGCTAATGCTTTGTTAGAAATGCCACTTCATCACGAAGAATATGTGTGCCCGAAAAACGCTATTGAAATAAAAATGATCATTCTGAAGATAAACGCCGTAGTTACCTCGGATTGGCTCGGCATGAAAATGGTAGAAATATTCAGCATGTGAAAAAGTATCAGAATAAACTTCGAAATTTCAAATCTCAGGCAATGCAATCGACAATTGTCGATTCTAAACTCTTACCACTTACTGAAATTTGAATTAAATTGAAATTATTACCGTTTATTTATAATGATATATCCAGCGCAATCTCATAAGTTCATCCCAAAATTTATATGCTGCATGGCTCGTGAGTTTTATTTTTCATGATTGTTCTCCATTCACCAATAATTGATGTAGAAAAATATGTTTATTCTAAATAGAACCCCTTTTTTTGGGTTTGAAAATTTGGCAGCGGATGTTGTGAGACGCATAAGCACGTTATGAAAAGAACAAGAAAATATAACAATTTTGTCAACATCAACGTTTTGTAGTAGCAACTTGTCGACACGAAACATATCTTGGCCAGATGATAGTCTGTGGCTTGTGCCATGAAAGCAATCGTCTATATCTATATCAAACTGCCAACGGGGTGAGAGTAGTAAAACAACACTTTCATATGTCTAAAAAAATGTTACTATTATATCAGTATTTTTTAATATTAAAAAATTGTGATTTTCTATAGATTATAGTTCTTAGACAATCATGTATTTATTACCTGTATTAATACTTTAACACGAATCAAGGTGAATTTCCATACTATTAACCAAATTTAATTATTATATTGATTTTTATATATATCATCAACTTATTTTCCACATTAAAATTTGAGTTCCATTTTATATAGCTTATATTTATTTAAAATTATTCGTTTTGTTCAAATGAATTTAGTGTTTGGTACTCTTTGAATTTTTGGAAAGTTTGCCCAGAACAGTGAATAAAAACTGTCCAAAGTAACTAAAAATGACGTAAAGGAATCTCTGAAGTATTTTGGCTTTGCGTGGGGAACACGAAATAACAAACCGGGAATAACTACGAAAATACACGAATGCGCGATTTTGAAAAGGTGTATCCTACGTGTGATTTGTCATAAAGTTATATTCATTTCCATATGCATACATGTATGTTTTAAATTTGTATATATATTATTTATACATTTATATATATATCATTTATGCTCTGTGTTTTGTTTCGTTGTTGTATGAGGAAAGCACCACGATTAAGATGTATGCGTACATTGAACCGGCCATATAAGTGCTTTTGTTCTCTCATGAGGGCCCGTGACATCGTGCGAAACACAGCTGGTGTGCTGAGGCTCCCTCGCTCTTGTTTATTTTTACTAGTTGTTGCAGTTGTATTATCCATCAAAATTAATCACAACCAACAGTAAAAAAACAACTTTTACGAACATTTTTAGTTTTTTTTTTACAATTTTTCAACTATAAAATTTTGCCAAATCCTAAATGCTAAAAACTATTCCCACATAACACATCTTGTACATTACATATTAAACCACACAAAGTTTTATTCAATGAAATAATTTTAAAAGTTCAGCATAACTGAATCTTGATTTTACATTTTTTGTTTCCCTGAATTTATGGAGCACATATGAGTGAAACTGCTGAAGCTCAGTTGAGAAATTAGTGTTCTGAAATCTTCTGGGTAAGCATCAAAATGGTTTTGACAACGCTGCGAATACACTTCCTTGTCAACAGATGAAGAGACATTTGGTTGCAGTAGTTTATCACTAAGAAAGAAAAATCTCTGTAATATCCTTGTATATCACTTCTCTTCATCTCAGTTACAACTTTGTCAACAATTGCTTAAATGTGGTGATGCGAATTTATCTCTGGCATTCAAATAAAAATCTGGTTCATCTCCCTTCATTGGGTACATTATTTCTCACACGTTTGCGAGTTGTAGCTTATAAATCTACATCCTCACTTTGCAGAGCTTGACATATTCTGTGAAAATTTCATTTTAAAACAATAACACGAAAACGAATTCTAGCCCTTGCATTTTATCTACAATATTATTTGCTTCTCTGTTAGCACCTCCCTTTTGTTACTGGTCTTTTTTTTTATAATCCAGTGCTTTATTTTGAGAAAAGATTTCAAAATTGCCTTCCATCTTGTAGTAGAGAGGGATTTTAGCACAATTTCATTTCCAAAAAAAAAAAATTATTATAAAAAAAAAACGACTTCGCTGAAATGCGATCGCGGAACCACCACATGGTGTTTTTTAATTTAATTTTTATTTTAATTTAGATGATGTCGTCATACGAAACTTTGGAGTGAAAGAGAAATCACATGGAGCCCAAAGGGATTTTTGAAATTTATACCGATCCATAGGTTTTCATTGTGTCCTTGTCATAATTAAATTTTAGTGTCCATTAATAATTGATATCCAAGTTATGATTATTTTACAGGATTTTTCGAAAATAGCCTAAAAACCTACAAACATTAATAGAGAATGTTATTACGACACTTGAAGAGGAGAAATGGGCAAATATTTTGAAGTCTGCAACGTCTGATCAACTCGTAATATTTTATTAAAAACTGATGCACCATTGAAAATCCAGCCATAAAAATTTCTGTGGTGCCCCATTTTGCTTGGTGCCCTAAGCACGTGCTTATATCGCTTAATGGTTGATCCAGCGCAGGTCGCAGCAGTAATAGGGTAAACTGCTACGTTGAAAGCACACGCCAAGAATCAAAACGAATGGTTATAGCATTTAAATGGGTAAATGAATGTGATGTCACCGTATATTGCTAATTTGTAGATTGTCTCTGACTTGCCAGTCGCCCGTTCACCCTTCAGCGTCAACGCCCACGTTAATGAAGATACGTTAGAAAATCTATATTTGATTTTATTCGTTGATTTCAACAGTACACAGAATACGGTCGTAAAACTTTATCCAGAATAGCTTAGTCCTTTAGTTACATTGAAAAGCTTATTTATATGTTATTGGGTACATTTGGGGGTTAATTGCTATATGATATGGTATACAATTCATCAAATTTACTAGTAACAAGAACATGGGAATCCATAAACACAAGAACAACGTCCTGATTTAATCCCAGTGGGAAGGGTGACCCTGATTCTGTTAAACGATTAAACTCAGGCAAAGTGTACGACATATAGCAGGGATGGCAAACCTTTTACTATAAATGGGTCAAAATTTAATTTTTATCGCGGAACAGAAAAGAGTGGGTCACAGATATTCGATCAATGTTTGTATCTATATGAAACAAATCGTATAAGTTTCTGTTGGTGTTGGCGTAGTTTTGGGCTTTACTTATGCAGCACTTCTATCAGGGACTTGATTCAGGCACTCGATTTTATGAAAATGGAGTACGAAAACAAGCATATGAATTACCAAAAACGTTTAGGATGATGCGGCAAATTATTTTACGGTTTCAAAGAGTTTGGAAGGAATTCCACTCTGATAGTGTTCTATTTTTCGATCAGCTTTCAACCACATTAAGGCACTTTTACACTGCCCCCTTGTTATTTTAGGTTTCTAGGCTTTTATTTTAAGTATGAAAGATTTTGTTCTCTTATTTAACGACATCGTGGGCGAGAAACTAATAAAATACAAAGTAGCATTTAGTTCTCGCATAACTAGGCTTACCATACGTCCCGCTTTAGGCGGGACAGTCCCGCTTTTTAGCGTGTTGTCCCGCCGTCCCGACAAGTCAGCCAAAAGTCCCGCTTTGGCGTTTTGTCATCCACCATAATACACGAACATTACCAATTAACATGTTTTCGTTACTGTTGTTGCTGTGCAGCCCAGCGCCAGCCCACTTGCTGGAGGTAAATGCGTTATTTTGTTTGTTTCGTTGTTTTCCGTAACGTATCACATGTAAAATCAATACTAATTGGTCCCGTTCTGACGTTTACGTGAATGTAACATTGAACAAGGTCTTTTTGACGAAGGCGTTATCTACAAAAAAGCATGCTTGGGCGAATAAGAAAATTCTCAATGCTTGAAAACGACAGGCTATCTTTCTTCCTTTTGCTGTACATAAAAAAATTTAAATTCGAATTATATATTTGTATCATTAACGTCAATTCCTTTCTATTTTTCTAACTGAACCCAATATTTGGACAGAGAATATGCGCATAAACTCTCGATAGCAATATGGTCAATGAAGACAGCCGGGATGGCTTTAAATGTAGGCCTATGTAGTAAAATCGGAAAACGTAAAGACGCAAAATCACAGCTAACGGGTCGTTGTCTTTGGAGGCGTCCCGCTTTAAAGTCACAAAAATATGGTAACCCTACGCAAAACCCCTCAAACAGTCTGTCAATGAACTTCCGAAATAGACCGAAAAAGTACCAATTTGAATATGAATTTATGGCCGGTTTCATCAATTTTTAAAACTAATATGTTAGCACTTTTTTAAATTTTATTCGTACCCGAAAAAGGACCAATTTGAATATGAATTTATGGCCGGTTTTATCATTTTTTATAACTGATATGTTAGCATTTTTTTAAATTTTATTCGTGCCTTGGCGGGTCACTAATAAAACGCGATGGGTCACTTTTTGACCCGCGGGTCAGTGGTTCGCCATCTCTTACATATAGCATCTCATGTTATCGTTAATCATAAGCTCGTTTCGACATGTTGTTGAAAGGACGAAATATTCATGTTGGGGGCCAAACCGAAATATTGGGAATATGATAACTTCTACATTCCACGAAAATGAAAACATGTTGGTGCCTAAAATTGTAGTCAACAACTCGATTTCTAACTATAATACTATCACCTACTTGTACGTTATAATTTAACTTTAAGATGCTGAAGTTGTGCTCGATCAGCGTTTAATCCCACAACCTGTACTCCGAAGCATACATTGTTATTATGTCTCCATCATGTTTGGTCTTTTCTATGTCTTCTGATATCGTCCTAATTACTCTCTAAAAATATCGAATCACCCTTTTAAGGGTAATTTACCCCTAGTTTAGCAACCACTGCTCTAACCCATATATAATTGCAATACTTTCGTTGAATAAATTGCAAGAAAAATATTGCATAAACAATTATCCTAGATCACATATTCCAGGGCTTCCCAAACTTTTGAGCGCGCGGCCCTTTTGATATATTAAAATTTTTCGCGGCCCTTATCCACGTTAATAATGCTAAACAGTCCGAAATATGCATTTTTGATGTTTTATTGGCATAGCTAATTCTCAACTATTATTATATATCTACCAAATAACGAAAACAAGCACATATTTATTCAGATTAGCGTTACTCAAGTATTTAGTGTAATGGGTGCGAATGCTTTTTGTTGCATAGCAAGTCCAGCCTTGCCTCAATGTATGTTTATGCAGGCCTAAATGATAAATTATGATGTCTGACCACCGACGACATCTCGAATTGTTCACTCTTATAGATCAAACTTAGCATAAGGCAGCGGTTTGTGCGACGCCAAATTACCAAGGAAAAAACTCATGGCGCACCAACACGAAAAATATGCTGCCTCAAAACAAAACACAATTTTGTCATCGTTAATAAGTACTTTATGTCTTTTGATGTTTTTAAACATGTAGGCCTAATGAATAAAGGCAAAAGGTTAACGTTTCTTTCTTATCTCTGCCAGGTTTTTTTTTGAAATGCTAAAAAAAATCACTCATGTTTGATAATCTGGGTTCAGCAAATGAATAAACTGCAGCCTACGAAATTGCAACATGTAGGCAGGGTTTACCTCTTATCTTACGTAACAATAGACCCTACGTAACAGAAAGTAAACAACATAAAATGGTAAAATGAATTTGATTCATACTTGTATACACATCATTTGCAACAATGAGAAACAATAAAACATTTAGAATAAATATAATATGTAATTTGTTTCGAGGCGCACTCAGCAAATTGCCGTCGGAAACCGCTAGTTTAACGATTAAGGGCGTCATTGTTATGAGAACACCCGCAAATCGGGTCTTACGATCAGAATATGCATTGTTATGCAAGCGCGATGATTCTACCGTGTTTCCCCGAGGATAAGACCAAGCCTGAATTTTAAAAAGGATGTTAATATAGGCGCTCGCCTTTAAAAAAGACTTTGACTAGACAGCTATTGTTTTTTACATAATTCCATGGAAGTGCGTCGTTCAATTTTGCAACTGTTACAGAAAATTTCCTTTGGTATTTATATAAAGCAGTCTTTTTCTACCAAGGCCCATTAAATGCGATTTCACTGACTGTCGTTAAGTTTTGTTTGTTTATATGATCAATACGTATTTTCACGGGGAGTTGCAACTTGAGCATGTTTTTGGAGGGCTTCACAATACAATGAAGTTCGAGAACCACTGAGTCCCACCCAGTCGATAGCAAGAAATCTTTTCTACTTTTTAAATGGTTAATAATTAATCTATACGTAGTAGTTATTTTAAATAAAAACGTACTATTTATAAGCAAATGGAAATCGGTATACACATTTTGTATAATAAGAAATCTCGGTATTCTCTATCCCAAAAATAAGCCCTAGTGTTATTTTCGAAAGAAAATTGAAGACACTGTCTTATTTTGGGGAAACACGGTAGGCTATTATGATCATGTATTCACTCGGAATCGTGGAATTTTTGGTTTACGCTATTTTCAATAATTGTATTTCGCATCAAGAGTCTGAAAAAGCACAATTGATATGGTACTTTGTGTAAAATTTGTGTTCTCTTTGCGGCCCCTGGAATTCGTTTCGCGGCCCCTTCCAGGGCCGCGGCCCCTAGTTTGGGAAGCCCTGACATATTCGATAGGATTTAAATCTCACCTGGAACAATTCAGTCGAAAAGATGACATCTACGAACTAAAATTGAACGAGACTGTTAACGTTAGCAAATAACTTTCAGTTGATTTAAACCCGTATCGTAGGCCATTCGAGCGAAACGGAAACATCCGATTCAATCGTAAAATGGTACGACCAGTTTGTCTCCGTTGTCTATTGATCCTTAGACGCATCTGAATATTTATAAGGTTTACTGTCTTTTTGCAAATCAACGACATCCCATACCAGCAAGTACACAGGGTTAAACTTTAACACCTCGTTCCTCTAGTTGTAGATTGCTTCAGTGTCATCAGCCTATGCACCGGTACTTGCACGCAAAACATGGCGGGTACAAAGATAATGGAGTTAGGATATTGGGATTTTCGAGGGGTAAGTAGGCTAGTTAGATAAGTTTACTTAACGTAGTCAGTTTAACCGTGAACAAAACAATTCTCTTATTGTGATATAAACTTAAAGCTCATGCAGAGCCTCGATACAACTCGCCGTCACCCGAGTACTGCATACGCTTCGGTGAATACCTGCAGGGTATTAAATGTTTAGAATTTTAGGAGAACACGAAATAAAATCAGTCAGCGGGACATGCCAATCCAACTGCCGCTAAATACCTACCTATGCGGCGTGAATTCCGTGATTGCAAGTGTTTCCATTCATTGGGATATCGGAAACGATTTTGACTGTGCATTTAGCTCGGTTTACCACAGGCAAACGGAACGGTCAGTCTTAAACGGTTTGAATCGAAAACTAGTTTCCACTTTCCAGCAGTCTTTTTTCGAAAATTTGAGCGATCTTTTACTGACCTCTTGGCAGTCCGATAGGGCTGTAGATAATTAAATACAAAACTCAAAAATATGCCAGTATCACGGGAATAAATTTGTACTCAGATTAACTTCAACACTACATTTTGTGCATGTTACCAACAATTTGGTAAATAGCGCTAAATTACCAATTGAAAAAACCGTGGAAGAAACAACTTGACTTACTAGCATTCCACTCGTTGAGTTTGCCTTCGTGTCTATATTTGCATGGCTCTGTCAAATGTCAATATACATTTTATAATTACAGTACGGCGAGGCATGCCGATATATGCTCGAATACTGCGAATGCGATTATGATGACAAACAATACCCAAGACGATCGCGTGAGTCAAAAGAATTTTGTATTTTGATGACGAGGAGGATTCCTGTTTAATAATTTTTTGTTTTTAGGCGTCGATTACAGTGCATGGAGAGACATATGCGAAACATTAGATCTGGATTTTCCCAATGTAAGCATGAGCGAATAATAGAATTAATAGTATTCTAATTAGTGTACTTGCATAAAATGCAATCGAGTTTCCCCACTTTAAGTATAAGTCGGCACAAAGAAACGTAAAATGAAGTTGATGAATGAAAATAAATCCTAAAGTCGTGCATATGAAGAGACAAATTCTTTAAATCACATATATATATATATACCAAATAGCGTTTGCGTAAAGTTTTGAATCCATGAAGATTGATATTTCAGTCCCATGATAAAATTGGCATACTGTAAAGTCAATCACCATCGTGTAAAATGTTGGAGCGCTTTATGAAGGCGTACGTCTATTTTAGGTGACCCCGTATACAGTGGCGTAGCCAGCCCAAAATTTTGGGGGGGGGGGCAAATTTGAAAATTTCAGAATTTATTTTGGGTTTAAAACACCCGTTCCTCAAGCGCAAAACAACAACAGTTGGTCAACAAGCAAACTGATTCAATTACTCAGCTGGATTTTTGTGTATACAAAATCCATTAATAAACAATTTTTTATTTGAAACAACAATTGAACGCAATTTGAATAAGTAAAATACATAGCCCCGATTAAAAGTCCATCCTTCGCTTCCCGCCAACTATGCTCGACACAACTCGATTAATTTTCTCCTCGGTGACCATTTCACGGTGACAGTGAAGCACACACAAATCAGAAAGGCGATTGGACGTCATTGATGAGCGCAGCCATGTCTTTACCCGTTTCATGCATGAGAAAGACCGCTCAGCCTCAACGGTGGTTGCTGGTAGCGTCATAACGATCTGTATTGCGGTTTACACGCTTGGATAATCTCGAGCGCTCAGAAGAAGCCCCTCCAAACATTCGTCGTTAACGTCGGAACTTAAAGAAGTTCTCCACAGTCTCACTTCATTCTGGAGGTTATCCAATAAATACAGACGCTCTACCTCATCCACGTGAACTGGTTTGTTCGGTGGAAGAATTAATAGCAATGAAAAAAATGATGGGTTGTCAATGGAGCGTTCCCGAATAGAGCAGCTCAAGCCGTCGACGTATGGGAGATATACGGAACGTTTAAAATACTGGGATGCTGAATCAGCACAGACATTGTCGCGATAAACTTGTACTTCGACTACTCTGGGTATTGTCAACTCTTTCAAGCCAGCTATTTCACAAACTTCTTTGTAAATATTCAATGCGATTTCAGAGTCATTGCGTTCTTCAGCGATAACGCTCTGAAGAGAGGATGTGAGGTTCTTTACTGACAGCACACTGACTCCGACCGCCTGAAGTGCGCGCGCTAGTGGCTCCATTAGTGCCGAATATCGACCAATCAAACATACGGCGTAGATAACCGACGACTTTTCTAGAGCAGATTTCAAAGAAAATGCCTTCGCCAGCGTCTCACTGTTAGCATCTCTCGCCAAAGAATCAAGAGCCTCAAGTACTCGTTTGAAGTTGCATTTGAAGATTCGGATGCTCTTGTACTTCTCAGACCATCTGGTGGGGCAGAAGAAAGGGATGTTAATTCCTAAACCCGCGCGCCTTTTAGGGCTCTCCCTGAAAAAACGAATAGTCTCACGAATGATATCACAGGTGCTTCTGATGATTGCAACTTTACTTTGGTCATTTATGACCAAATTCAAACAATGGGAAGCGCAGTGCACAAATATTGCGCGCGGGTATTTATCACGAATGAGTTTTTGCACACCGCTGACGTGACCTGCCATTGTCGTTGCACCATCATAGCCTTGCCCCACAAGTTTTTGCAAATCCACTCCTATACCAGAGAGGTGGGTCAAAATATTTGAGGAAATTGATTCGGCAGAAACAGAATCCATTTCCACTAATCCTGTGAAGCGCTCGCACACTTCACCACCTTTCACATACCTCAAAACGATGCTTAGTTGTTCTTTCCCAGAAATATCACATGATTCGTTGGCTATTACGGACACAAACGATTTATTAGCCTCCATAACGATATCTTGCACTATCATGTTGCTTGCTACCTTGAGAATTTCATTTTGTATCATCGGGCTTGTATACTTAGCGTTTCCGGCCATTCGAGCGAAATGCCTTTTCAAATCTTCATCCCCTGCGTCGATACGAAATAGAAGAAGGTTCACAAAATTTCCACTATCCCCGGAATGTCCGCGCAAGGGTATGTTACCCGAAGCACAGAACATGACAGTCTTAACAACGGAAGTCATTATTCGTCTGTTTTCGTTTGTTTGCGTAGCATATTGGGCCTCCATGTTTGCACGCACATTTTGACCAGTTTCCATGCTTTTGACAAAATTTTTTGCAGCCATATTTGATTCTCGATGGTAATTTGTGTCTCGGTGTGCTACAGCCTTTTCCATAAATTTTTTGTAGTCAATGCATGGTCTTGTAACAAAGGCAGTGTCCCTGAAAGTTCCATGCTTCAAACGTGCTTGCATGACTATGCATATCTTACACAAACCACCCCCATCAGAGAGTTGGGTGTAAACTAACCAACTGCAAAATCTGTTATCGTCAGGCCATTTTTTGAGAAATTTACGACGACTTTGTCTAACAGTATCCAGAATCGTCACGTTTTTCGGACCATCCGAAGTTAGAAGCCTGTATCTCTCCGCATCGGTAAGCTGTGTATGTTTCTTAAGAATAAATCCAAGATCGTTTGTTTTCCCTTCGTTGATTATTATTTCATCTTCGGGAATAGAAGTGATAGACGTAACTGACGTAACCGGTGCATCCACAGCCTGAGAAGCGCTTATTGATGTATTTGAGGAAAGCGAGTCTTTATTTCGCTGAAAAAAACTATCGAATTTCGCCTGTTTAAATTTAGCCATCGAAGTAATTTGGTCATCAAAATCCAAGCGTTTCGAATAAAAATCCGGCAAAAGCAAATCAAGACCGAACAACTGACCGAAAGCTTGCGAAACAGTCTTTCCCATACTGCTCATAAGAGCGAACGGTCAAGTCTTTGTGACGTAACAATGACAATCAGCAAGCGTGACGAGACACGATGCCACAAAACTGGTGGATTAGGAATGGAATTCTTGAAAATTTTTGGGGGGGCCATGGCCCTTCAGCCCACCCTGGCTACGCCTATGCCCGTATAGAAACCTTAGTGTGGCGGAAGTGGAACTGCAATTCTTATTTGTTTTTTTTCGGAACCCACGTTCCGTTCAATCCACTCACCCTTGCTTAGATATTGACAGCGGATTCCCCGACAGCAGTCGTAATCCATGTGTTGTTAGTGCTCCACTGAAAGCCTATTTTGGTCGCGACTCTTGGTATAAATCTATTCTTATATACCTTCAGTTACCATATCTGATAGATGGCACGAAAAGATTGACAGAAAGTGTGGCTATATTAAAATATCTCGGTCGGAAATATGGTCTGACACCCGGAAGTGAAGACGACAAAATAAGAGCAGACATGGTGGAAGGTTAGAAATAATACCGTTGAGCAATGTTTGGTATTAATCAGATTGACAATTGATTCATCTTACAAGATATCATAGAGCAATATTAACACTTTTATGTATTACATGTAAGAATTGCCCATAAAACGTTATCCAGCAAAGTGATTTTGTTTTCCTAGTCTCATACCAGTCGAACAATGTCAGTGTTTGTAAAAAAAATGGTCTAATGAAACTTGTCATAAAACAAACGTACATTTTTTTCAGGTGTTGTTTTGGAAATTAGAGACCGATTTTATGGATTGTTTTTCGCACCGTTAGTATATTTTTTTACTTTGATATATATGATTTTGGCAGACTTTCCTGGTATTTAATTACTAATCGTTATCTGTAACCAATGATGGGAATCAAAATTCTAAGGTTCCCCTTGCATCGAACTCAGATTTCCTCATTTCAGAAAATGTGTGTATGTAATTAAGTAAGCTGCTTTAACAGGACCCGCTTCAGATAAATATAATACACCGAAACGGCAAATATATATACGCTAGTAGTCCGCAGCGCCACACGATACCCGGTTGGTCTACAATGTACAAAACAAAAATAAGAACTGTTTTGCCGATTGCTTCCCAAGAACGGATTTGCATAAAACCCGTGAAACCCAACACCACTCTCTTTAACTGTTTTTAAATTGTCATTTGTTTTATTACATTTTCAGAGAAGGTCAGTACAGCAAGTACGTCCATGACTTCATCACGGACATGCGAGGGCTCCACGCTAAATTAAAGAAGATTATCAAGTTCATGGGCAAAAACAAATGGCTTGTTAATAATGAGGTAATAATAGGTTACGTTCATGTAAAAGATTGATATTTGTTAATCTATGGAGTATTAATTTAAAAATTAGTATTAATTCAGGTATTGAATGGTATCGCCTCAAACAACGCGCTTAAAACAGCCTCTCAAGTGACTACTAAGATAGTTAGGTTTAAAGACATGTCTATTTATTAATAAAGTTTGGGTTAAATATGTATGGAATCGGCTGTTATGCAAATTTTTAACTATTGAGATTGAAGAATTTTCTTGAATATTTTATTAGGAAATTTTATATTACAGTTGACGTACGTGGATTTTCTCTTTTACGCTATGATTGCACAGATTAGATCATTGATTCCGAAAGCACTCGATGGATACGATCGAATCGATAAATATATGATAGATTTTCAGGTACACAAAAGCAGAATTATTTCAGATACACTTATGAGATGCTTTTCGACCGGGTTCCCTAGTGTTCTACAAAACGCATATTGGGTTTTGTGAAATTTGGGAGTTCGGTAGGGTTCGGTTACGGTTTCTATTTGAGTGGACTTTGTCAATTTCCCAATACAATTTGCGTGAAACAGTATTTTCTGCTTTAACAACTACTAGGAATAATAAAAACAAAAGTCGCTTTAGTATAAATATGTGCCTAAATATTTCATTAAACAACACGAAGACACGATTTGAAAGTTCGTGCAGAAGGTACCATAGCAGAAGGGTCGTTAAATTTCTTGCATTTTCTCCTCGGTAATGACTTTTCATCGTTGTAGTGTTCATTTTTTTTTGACTTTCATGCCCATATGGGTGTTTTTGAATAATTGTTAATTGGGGTTCCGTGATGAGCCCAATAGCATATCAGAGGTCCACAAAGACAAAAAGGTTGAGAAGCACTACACAGGTGTATCACGGATATTTTGAAACGATATTATGACGCTACTTTTTATGTATGAAGTTATTTGCTGGTCGTTTATTTCTAATAATTACTGGTTAAATTCTAATCACAGTATAGACTCAAAACACCACACTGCATTTTGAGTATGTCAGATTTATTGCGCCATAAGATCACTGATCAATATTAGATGGTTTTCGAAACCTTTTTTTTATCATAGGATGCCATTTGAAATATAATTCCAAGGGTGAATTTTGTTTGAGGTGGTTTTTATAGTGAAGTTGTCGATTGTATTTGCAGTCTATACCAACGATAAACTCTTATCTCAAATCCGGAAGGTTTACGGAATTTCCAGACCACGATCCGTACCTGCGATTGGAAAATAAAGTTGATTCGTCATTTACGAAGCAAGAAGATTAACAATCATGTATATATATATATATATATATATATATATTGCAACCCAATTCTTTAACTTTATCTTCAATAATTCAATTGAATTTTAATTTCAGTACGGTTTATTGAGAATGTATCAGGCAGTTTGTCAAGCTTTGTGTACAGATAGAGAATCTTTCAATTTAGGATATTTTCGATTGCATTCTTAAAATAAATCTGTCACGATCATCAGTCTGCAACCAAAGTGAAAACTGTTGGATTTTAGGAGCTTTCAGGACAAATCGATCAGGAAAACTATCGTCCTTTAAAAAGTATTTTTGCAACTATATCCATATCGCCACTTCCTTTAGCCGCTGCAAGATTCAGCTATTTCAAAACCATGACGCCTCGATACCTAAAGATGAAAGAAGTCGACGAAGGCTATCAGTTTCATTATTTCAAATTATCCTCGGAGTTGTATGGGATTCTGTATTCCATTCAAAATCTTGTTCAATTCATGGGAACACTTTCTGCGCATTGCGACAGGCAGTGCCTGTAAGTATCATTTGTTAAAGTTTATAAAAACCAAGCACACCAATGCAATAAATGCATAATGGGATGTGGGACTATGATAACGAAAAAGAAAGACCGTCACGCACTGTCGTATTTACGTGGAATCGAATACTTATTATTAACTTCAATCAATTTATTTCAGTCGCTCTGGTATAAAACAACGGGTGCATCCTAACCTTTCAAGTTCGCACCGGTATATCTTGACCAAGATGGGGCATATTTTACTTATTTCTATAGAAAACACACAAATGGTAAGCAGGCCTACCTAATATCTCATAGATACGTAACAATGCATCGTAGATTTCTCAGATTCAGAGACTTTCACGATATTTGGAAAATACCGGTACCGGCGTGAAACAAACGCAATATTCGTCAGTGAAACAACGCCGCATGGACGAACAGCGCTGAAAATTGAGTATTGGTAGTAATCGTCCCGTGCATTATAGTTTTCGTACCATGGCGGGATTAAAATATTTTATCTTACTCATGGACAGTCGGCGACTCCAGTAATTTTAATAGATCACACACCAAGCTCACAATCAGGAATTTTGTAATTTGAAACAGGATAAGCCGTGCTATCGGCTCTCAACAGTTGGGACCTCATTTACCAGTAGCAAATTGGCCGACGGAGGATCAGCTGTGTATTTTAGGATACTTTTTGACAATTTTCCTGGAACTCAAATTTCCAATCTACTGCCATTGATAGTTTTTTCGCCTTCTTCAGCATGTCCATAGTTTCAGTGCAAAACACTAGTCAGGAGAATGTTGGACAAAAAAAGTACTGGTATACACTACTATACAAGCAACCATTTTATTGTTCATCAAGTTGCCTGAAAAAACGGCACCTGTCGGAATAAATATAGTGGGCAGGTTTCTAAAACACATATTGCGATAATCGGTCCCTTTAACTGCAGTGAACATCTTTTGCCTCATTAACACAGTAGATTCTCTCCCCAAAAAAGTGCGTTTGATGGGACAGATGAGTTTAATTCTCCTTTCCTCATTACTACGTATCAAAGCTGGCAATTTTCCATCACATGAAATCCAATTTCAACATTCTTGGTTGTGTCACTGGATATTTTCAATCACATACACAGATTCTGAATCTGTACCGCATACAAGTCTGCTCCCTGATATACTCAAAGAATTAACAGCCATATTGTGGCAGTTTAAAAGTTCTAAGACATCAACTGGAGGTCGATTACCAGCAGAAATTAAGGAATCCTGATTTTTTAATTCTGAAGTAATGTCTAATCTGCGTACTGCACCATCTTCAGAGCATGTAAACAAGTTGTCGGGTGACGTTGGATGGAATTGAACCTCCCATACTGTAATGCAATGTAGGAAGTTTATCCTATGATAGAATATTTCCAAAACCTTGCAAATTTTAATAAAACATTATCATATTGATGACGTAGGATAAAATAATTATAGGAAAGGTTGGTAATTTTAACAGATTTCAGTACGAATAGCCTGAACCATTTTAGTATGGCTTGGTGGTTGCTGAGAAATAGGAGCAAACTTGCTGATCCCCTGTTTATGGGTATTTGGATGGAATTTCATACAACTATGTGCAGACTTCTACGCTAAACAACAGAAGGTGGGTGCTTATTGTTTCCTACACTAACCATGTTCTTACATCTGAAACATTCATCCGAATAGTGATTCCCATATCATGGCTAGATGTTTCACACTGCTATAGTTCACCATATGGATCAGATTACATTATCAAAATTCTTCATGTAGTCCCATAGCTGCTTATTTTTAAATAGGTTATGTCAGTTTAACTCATACAATAACTGCACATGTCTTGCAAATAGTGAACTAAATTTTAATTCACAAAAATCTATTATATCTAATTACTTCTCACCTTCAAGATCGTGAACTTCAAGTTTTGTTACGGGTGCAACTTCTTTCCTAATATCGAAGGTAGTAACGCATCCATCGGCCCCACCTGCGGCAAGGATGTGTGGTCGAGAAGGATGTCGGCAAACAGATTCTAGCGCAACAAGTTCTTCTGATGTTACAACGATTCGTGAAGGACTATCTTGTGAACTCCTTAAATCCCAGAGACGTAATTGACCCATTTTATTGACAGTGCAAATTTCATTTTGTTTCACAAAACACACATCAGTAATAGGACAACTGTCGGCTTTGGCTGTGAATGGAAAGTGAAGAATATAGCTTTTGAGATACAAATAATTTCTGAAACCGCCACCATTTCGAAATCAAAACTCAGTTGATTGGAATGTTATTATACAGTTCTTTTAAAAAAGATGAAAACAGAATTAGATTATGCATTATTTCAATAGAGGGAGAATGCAATATACCAGCTCCAATATGAGACGAGATAAAGGTGATAAGACATCTAAAACATATGATGCACCACAGCCACTTGTCCGGTTACCAGTCCATGTTGGTTATGGGATTAGTTATTAAATATTCATGACTAAATCATTTCTAACAAGGAAATTAACAATAGAGAGCATGCATCACTTTGTTACACCGCTCGGCTAAGCAAAGAATGCAGGTTTCAATCTTGTTGAGGACAGATTAGGTGAAATAATGGATTAATTGCACGATTGTTCAGTAGTGGCTTCTTCTACCAGCTAAGTCTTTATATATATGCAATCACTGAATTAACCAGCTATCCAAAGAATAAGCTGTGACTCGCATTATGATTTGGCTCACTTCAAGAATTTCTTATTACCATAAATATTCTTCTTATTCGTAAGAATTTGGATTTTATAAGAGTGAATACAGTTAGGATAGGATAGGATTTACATATTTATCCTGGGGGAGAGGAAAGCCGATAAGACGGCTTATCCATATGGCGAACCACGGCCTCTCGTCTGGTTACCATTCCAAGTCGGGTATGGGATTAGTTATATTGTTTGTTTCCGGAAGCATGGACTTGGTGGTGGAGGAAGCCGTAACCGACCAGCGGTTACGTGAACCACCCAACGACGGCGAGGAGTCCAGCAATCCTCTCGCACATAACCATCCCTGCATGGGATTCGAACCTGCGAACCCAAGCAGAGTAATTAGAGGTGCGGTGGCGAGCGTATTCCTAACGCTTAGCCCACACCGCCGCGCCTTGAGCCACACCGCCGCGCCAGTTGATTCAAATGGGTAAGTCGCCAAATAAACCTATATTAAATTGGAGTAACTATTCTCCCGATCTATGTAGCATATAATTACCAAGTTTTCTCAGTAGCCTATCGCTTCCAATTCTCATCAAATTAATATTGCCATCTTCTCCAACAGTGACAAAATCAGGTATACTGGCATCAACCCCAGTACATGGTATTCCATTTCCAGATATATGGTGTATTCCTTTCCACTCTTGTACTATATCCAGCATCTAGAAATGATAACAGTTATGATGAATCAGAATGAAGAAAAACGAAAGACGCATCTAGAAATGATAACAGTTATGATGAATCAGAATGAGGAAAAACGAAAGACACAATGTATTTGCAGCGAGGGTTGGAACTAATCAAAGTGGGGTCAGAGGTTAAAGATCTCAGGATTGAAACAGAAATATTCAAATCCTTTCAGAACTAGTACAGAGCTTTGTTCAGAGTGAAAATGTGGAAACATTTAACATTCAAAAAATAACTAATACTTTAAACCAGGAGTGGGCAACCTTCAATACGAGAGGGCCAGATATATATAACTGGGTGAAACCGCGGGCCGCACCTTTTTCAACATAGGCTTTCTAGTAGTTGCATGCACAAAATATTTGCTTATTAATCGTATGAAATGCGTTTTTCGCCTCGCACAAGCTAGATGTTCAGGCACTGTAACGTCATACGTAATAAATTAGACTTGGGTTCAGGCTTTGCAACGAAAGTGATTAAAATTATACGCACGTACCATATTGAGCTACCTGTAATTAGAAATCATGTTTCGCGAGCCACCGCTATTCAAAATTGACACTTCTCCGCGGGCCGCACAACTTTTTCTTGTGGGCCGCAGGTTGCACACCCCTGCTTTAAACCACCTTTGACCCAAACACTAACTCTATATTGCTCTATCAGACATTGTCATTGTAAGCATCGTCAAATGATATATGTAATTTCACATAAAATAACATCAATTGAGGGAGATTGGAAATCAGCATACAAGATGCCAGAAGGTTTGGCCTTTAGAATTTGTTATAATTTGTGATACATTACCGTTGAATGAGTTACATTAACCTACATTCAAAGGAATTGTTTTTATCTAAAATAACTGCACAATACAAAACATTGAAACATCTACTTAGTTATTTAACAACAGAATTTGAACAGTCGGTTATATAATTCCATACTTATTCAAAAACACAGACGCATTTCAATCTCAACTCAAAAAATTATCATTAGTGATAGCTCTGTAGTTTTTATAAAGAATAACATTCATACCTGTGATACAGAATATTTAAGCAGAACAACATCGCCATTCCCCAATCCTGCAATGATTGTGTCTGGATCAGCGAAGGTGAGTGAGTCAATATTACCTGAAATAAAATAAAAGTTACTACATATTAGGATAATAAGTTAAAAAAACATGAATATGAAAAGATCACAATACGTGAATTCAGCAAATGCAGTAAGGCACAGTTCTTCGATTCGAATAATAGCACCAACATTAAAAGAAATTAATGATAAAAGTGAGTGCCACTTCTTTGAGAGACAGTCTGGGCCTCCATATCCGCAAAACGTCGCTGCGCAATTAACTAAACGAAAGCAAAAAAAAATCTGATTTGCTGAAGGAAAAAAAATAGACAGTAGCATTCCAGGGTTTTCGATAAAAAAAATCATAAATTTGGCCACATGACAGCTGACGCACGTCGCGATTGATTTAAATTATTATAGAAACAAAAATGGCGCGGTGTTACGCATTTGCAGTCGTGCCCAGATACCCTCGTTTCAAAGACCAATAGAGATTTTTTTTATTGAACCAAATGTTGGGACATCTCGAAATGACTGAACAGTGCCCTACTGAAATAAAATCCCCACAAAAAGATTTATGGCAAAGCAAGGCTTTCATCCCATTGCTCATGTAGGTCAGATATTGCTGTATTGAGGAGGGGCCGAGGGTAATCTGTTATAATTTCAGGGTGATGGCTGATAAAGTGAGCCTGTTTTATGCATGATATATTCCATCCCCGACCTAATGCACCATTCAAAATTCCTGTAATCAATGTGCCAGTCAAATTAACAGTATTGTATTTAAAATCCACCACTATTTTGGTTACAATTGTATATTTAAGTTATTATTTAATGTTGATTTGTTTCTACTATGGTACCTAATTTTTAAGTTTTAAAGCACCGTAAATTTTTTAAATACCAATAGAAGGATTTGAACTGTTATGTTATGACATATATAATTTTATTACCCTTCATAGAACTTCAGGTACAGAGGTATTCTGGTATGGAAATATTTGAACCAATAGACTAAACCAGGGGTCACCAAACTTTTTTGACCGCAGGCCAGGTATGGAGTGGAAGTGGTGACTCCTCTTCGGCCCATGGGCCGGGGTCACGGCCCATCAAATTGGGCCTAGGCCCATCAGGCTATGGGCCGCGGCCCATCAAGTTGTGTAAAGGAACTATTCACTTGGCTAACACAGACAGTCCCCAAACTCATAATAGAACTATAATGTAAAAAATCTGAACAAAATTTTGCCCTAACCCTAACCTGATACACATACTACAGGAGTTTATTTTTTGGTTCCAATAGTGACAATTTTGTAGAAATTGAAAATTTTGGTAAGATAATTGAATTTTTCCTGACGGGGCCGCGGCCCATAGCTTGATGGGCCACGGCCCATGTGGCCCAATTAGATGGGCCGTGGCCCCGGCCCATGGGCCGTAGTGGAGTCACCACTCCTGTAGCAGGTATGACTCAAACTGTGTTGAAAGGGGCCAGACAAATATTTTTGTAAATGCAATACAATAAATTCACAAAAGTTGGGAAATCCATTCAATTTATTCAAAAATATATATTCTACAATTCTGAAGATTTGAATATCAAATTCTATATCGCAGAATATAGATTGAGAACATCATAGCAAAACAAATATACAAGATGTCTAGATCTTGAAAACTATTCTGGGGTTAGCTGTTAGCAAAACATTGCTGTCATGCATAGCCGCATGTAAGCTGTACAAAAGTTATTGTGACTTGGTAGAATTACAGCACTATTAGCGCAAAATGCACGTTCGACGTTCATTTTAGCACAAGGAACGTACACAGTAACAGTTTCGCCTAAAGCATGCGCCAAGAGTGCATCCTTCGCAAAAACAGTTGCGTACTGGTAGAGAATTTTAGCCTTTTATATAACAGCTATTCCTAGAATAATTTTGGAATACTGCAATTACACTACAACTCCTAAAAAGGAAAAATGATGATTGACTTATTCGATTCATACCTTAATTTCCGAAACACAACCAAAAACTAACGAATTGCATTCAAAAACTGTCTGAGTGGATGCAAAAAGGCTTATTGTTACGTCAATTTTTGCATCTTGCTGATTGTACAATGTTACGAAATAAACAAGGAAAATAATTTCGGAAAAAACTTTGTTTGTGTTATTGCGGGCCAGATGAGAGGACGCCGAGGCCCGGATCCGTTCCGGGGGCCGTAGTTTGGGGACCCCTGGACTAAACAGATATCGAACTTCAGCAACTTGTTTTGTTTTGTATAAAAAATGAGCTTAATATAATTTGATATTTATATCTACCTGGTACTCTGCATTTATGAGCGCATCTCAACTTATCAGTTTCCAAGTTTTCATCTTCAATGGCGTCTCCTCCTTGCACCGACCAAACATTGATTGTATTTGTCTTGTTTTCCCAGCTCCCAGTTATAAAAACGTCGGGTTTCTGTAGACTCGATCGAGTGGGCCTCCATCTTACTTTATTAATTTTTTGAGACACAAATTTCACGTATTGAGAATCACCCATAGCAATAAAAAGAGATAAGGGCAAAATATCTGGAAGTAAAATACAGAAAGAAACAAAACGGGCTTCAGAATTAGCGGCAAAGTGGAATGGCGGGGAACTCCCTTATCACGGATGATGGGAGTTGTATCCGGCAACTGAGTCCATAATTAAAGCATTGTAAATAAACAAAAAACAATTTTAAGATTGCAAAAATGAAACATAAAAAATGCTAATTTTGTTTATTCAAAAGTAATTTTGAATACAGTCTCCATGTTCAAATGGCTCGACTGGGTGGCGCATGGTACTCCTGCCCCCACCAAAGCGTATAGGCTGCCATAACGTCCTTATTTCTAAGATTTGTCCTTATTTTGACATGTGTCCTTATTTTTGTCTTTATTTTATGTGTAAAGTTTAATTCGAATGAATGATTTGATAGAAATGCTATTTTACAACCTCATTGTTTGCTACGCGCTCTCATTACTTGGTAACAGCGAAATAATTGACACAATGACAACAACAAAAAATAGCCTACCGGCCAAAATCAGTTCGTGTAACTTGAATCAAAATATAACTTAAAAGTGAGATGGAACAGATAGTTTCCAAGCATAAAGAACTGCTGGAGCAAATCCTTTCTAGTTCAAAGTATGATTAGACACGGGTCGCACTGGCATGAATACATTTTGTTTGTAACATTTCGTTCTTTGTTATTCTATTATTATGTTTCCCCGATGTCCTTATTTTTGGGTTCATATCGATGGTAGCCCTGCATATAACCCACGCAACCGCACCTCTGATTACCCTGTATAGGTTTGCAGTTTCGAATACCCTAAGGCAGGGGTCGGCAACCTTTTGTCTCCCGTGGGCCAAAATTAGGGATTGCAAGTCATTTGCGGGCAGCACATATTTTTAGAAAGTTGAAAACCGAACGATGCATCTCTCGAATAGAATATAAATTTATTTCCTTATTGCATCTCAATAAATCCCATTTGAAAATTTTTGGCGCCATTGAACCCTTTGCACTTAGCATCAACTTTTCTGCGTTTTATTGTCATTTGTTTAATTATCATTAAATTATGGGCTCATTCACGAGTAATCGTGAATTATATACATGTTAGGTTATAATATAATTTAGTCTACACGTGTCTCACAATAAACGATGTTATGTAAAGAATATAATCGTCAAAACAGCTGTTTTGTTACTGGAATTCAGTGACGCGTCGCGGGTCGGGATTTTATTACTCCGCTGGCCGGATCCGGCCTGCGGGCCGTAGAACACCGACCCCTGGCGTAGGGGATAATTCAGTGCGGGAAGATTACTGGACTCCCCGTAGCCATAGGGTGGTTCACGTCACCGCTGGTCGGTGGTGACTTTTGACTCAATTAATTGCTTACTAAATACACATCTAGAGAAGGATAAAGGTTTTTTGGTATATGGCAAAAAAATGAAGACTACGATAGAAATCAATACCTTACGTTACATGTAATGAAATATGATGGAACTAGCGTATAGTCTCAAATATAATAAGTTATATAGAAAACCGAAACAATTTACTCAATCGTTCATAAATAGAGAAGATACCTAAAAATGAAAGCAATATGTTATTTGAAGAAGAAACGGTACAGTTTCATTTACAAATATTGCAAATTCAATTTAGCCAATCTCGTTTGTTTTGTAACCTTTCACTACAAATTTTGAGTGAAATAAAAGTAAAAATGTTTTGACTTGATACAAAAATTGTTATCCAAAATTGGTTAAAATGTTATGGCTCGTCGATAATCCGATTTTTGAGTAAGCGTACCCTTACATCTTGGTAGACTGTTATTAACAGCGCATTGACAACTTAATTAGCGGCTTTTTTATTAAGCCATATTAAAAATAAATTTCAATATTATTACGAAATTGTGTGTTTATGTTAACGGAGTTTTAATTGAGCCTCAAAGGTTTGTTTAATAACATCACTATGCGGCCCATCGACAGGGTAAAATGCTTTATGAACAGAATTTTTTTACCAAGTATTGTTTTATCGCGAACTTTCATAAAAACGTGGTATGAGTAAATACGAACAAAAAATAAACTAATTTGAATGATTACGTAAGCCCGGGGCATGATGTCTTAAATAAATCTAAATAAGAAGCACAATACAAATTATTTTGTGTCTAAAGCATTTTCTTAAAATATGTACATAATTATGTACATAATATGTAAATAATTATCAAAACATGAAACACATTTAGATTTAGATGGATATTTCAATGCCTTATGTCTATCATAAAGCAACTTGACAAATTCTGTAGCATGAACCATAGCGTTCAATTTCTTCATTTCATTATTGGGGGATGTGGAATAGACAGTTCGGTTTTCCGTATGAATGCAGGTAGATAGATGCTCCTTATATGAATGTTATTGATCATCCGTGAATTCTGGTGATTTCAAAATACTTTGGTATGCTTTGAACCGTCGCAGAGAGAGGGAGAAGAACTTTTTCCCTATATTTACCTAATTGACCTTTTCGCAAGATATTTTGGTTGTATTGCATATTTTGGTATTTTTGTTACAAGAGTTCGTTACATACATTAGTTGTCTTTTATAAATAATCCATGTAATTTCCCTTCACTACCTGTACCAACGCGTGTTTGGCAACAGGATATTATCAGTTTGATTATAGTTTTCTAATCGGCGATGTCGTTGTCTTGTTCCGCGGATTTTTTGTGCAAATCGTCCACGATATAAGCCCGCAGGGAAAAGAAGTCTAATGTTATAGTGCTGTTCCATTTTTATACTCGACATTGATATAATACATCTGGAGCGAGCGGTCGAATATCTGGATAAAAATGGAAAGAATCCGAGATTTATTTGCACTTGTAGTTGCCATTTGCGTAATACAACTTTCAGGTATTTATTTATTTTTTGTTTTATTTTGTACACGTTTTATAGAAATTTTAAGTGGAAAAATTCGGCTGCTGCAGAATTAGCAATGATGTGAAAAGCACACAAAGTAAACCGCTGGTGAACAGCCAAATATGGATATAAGAAAAAATGGATAAACTATATAACATTTAGTAGATATATATGCTTATTTGTATAAGCTTCGTAGTGTCAGTCATTTTCTAGTGTTTAAGTCTACTTTAAACATGTTCGCTTTAATATACTTTATATATATATATATCATTTTATATAAATATTATACACCATACTCGAGACATATCGCAATGTTATGAGTGATATCAAACTCTAAAAAAGAATGATGTACAAAATTGCATCAAGTTCGAAATTTTTATATTTCAATATTACGGATAGCCTGTATTAGTCTGAAAGGCCGATTTTTCATAACACTTCAGCTAATTATTGATTTCAAAATTTTTGTTCAATATATATACTATTTATTTGAAAAAGAATCAGGAAATAAAATATTTTCATTTTAATACTATTCTTATGAATTCGTTAAACAACTTTATTTTTGTATTCTAAACTGAATATAATTGATTTCTGTCACGCTACAGCATTTATGAACGGATAAAAAAATTTCAACTTTAAATAGAAGTTTGTGTTGAATCTTCATTTAACTACAAATATTGGTTATTAACGACTGCAAAGCAATGGTGTAGTGCTGTAATCAAGGAAATACCTTTGATATAGTACAAGCAAATATCACATATTTATATTACAAATTGATTTCAGATGCAGCATGTCAAAAACCTTTGATCAAAAATGGCTACGTGCTTCCTGATTATGGACAACAGAAACTTTACAGTGCAGGAGAAAGGGCCATGTTCTCCTGTTTTTTGGCCCTTCGACGTATAGGACCAGCATATGCTGTATGCCAGGGCAATGGACAATGGACTGAAGTAGCGACATGTTTCAACCCACAAAGTACGACGCATTTTTGTATGACTTATGGTTTTAGTTGATCATGACTATGCAGCGGGTGATAAAAATCTCGTTGGTTTGAAATGATTAAAATTTTGTGGGATAATCCGAATTCCCTGAAATATTTAAATTAAAAAAGAACCTTATTAATACAGTTAAAGGTTATTCATTTTCGATTGATTACTGTTACAAAACAAAAACCAGATTTGGATAAAGTTTGCAAATATCAAATCAATATTGAAAAAAATATATTATCAGTAATGTCTCAATTCCCATTTTTTCAACCTCAGCTGAAAAATAAAATAAAAGTATTGGAGTCTGGAAATTTTCTTTTACTGTATTCAACAAATATGTATACATACAGAGTTTTGTCCGCCCGAAGAGGCAGAGATAAAAAATGGATCACCCTTAAACGGGCCTATTCAAGGAAAATTTTACAATGGAATGGCTGTTCACTACATTTGCAAATACGGTTACAAACTTCCAAGTCCACGGCAATACAAGAATATGTGCAAAAATGGAAAATGGGAATACGTTAAACCGGAATGCAAAGGTATATATTTACAGTTCTCTCTTTTGTTACTTATCGATCTTAAAATCGGTAAGTATGTTGATAGGTATTTGTCCGTCTGTCTGTGTGTTAGATGCACGCGATATCTCACGAAGGCGTGGTTAAATCTGCTCCAAATTTTGCATGTGCATTCATCATATCTCGGACCAGTAGCCTATTGGATGAATTATGTCGTATAATTAGCGAGTTATTAATTAATTAGTGATGAAGATATCTGGATTTTTACAAAGCGAGAGATTTTCGAGACGCGCTGAATGTGTGTGTACATGTCCGATGCGCAAGTTTTCACGCTAGTGAGCCAGAGAGAAGGATACACACCGCTAGATCGTATCTCGTGATTAATCTTTAAGCATTGTCCATATCTCTCTTGTAACTTTGACGTCGTCGCGATGCGCAAGTTTACTTCGAGAAACTTTCCACGCTATTGAGTCAGAGCGAAGGATACACGCTGCGAGATCGTATCTCGTTACTTATAATTACTCTTTAAAGTTTAAGCAATGTCCATAAACCTCTATGTCTATCAGGTTCGGGATTGCAGAATTCCTCCCCAAAATATCGCTAGGCTGTGTTTGAATAGCCGTCGCAACCCGGGTTAGCGATGTTGTATTTGACACAAAATATAGGATTGGTAAATAGGCTATTGGCTGGAAACTAATCGAAACAATCCAGTTCCGATTTGCAGAATTCTTCATAAAAGTATTATCTCGAGTAGTATTTTGACGACGACATGGGGAGTTGGCTATTGTTTCCTACATTTTTGATATTGGCTGAAAACTATTCAGAACAATCCAGTTCGGGTTTGCAGAATTTTTCGAATTGAAACTGCAGTTTCTGTTTTGGGGATCCCCTAACTTTCGATCGATAAGTCTTCGGTCTCTGACCGTTTCCAATCGAATTCTAGTTTTCATTTTCTTGGTGTTCTTCTTTCTTTAGGCTAGCTTCTTTTTCTTTCCTTCAACTTTTATATTTTTCGTCTGCGTTCGACGCTTCCACTTCATCATATTCTTTTTTTTTCGTTTTTTTTTTTGTATTCATTCCTTTATTTTTTTATACTTTTCATTTCATTTTTTCTTCTATTTTCTCCGTTTATCATCATTGCAATCCCTTTATTTTCAGAAATCGACTATCGTCCTTTAAGAAAATACTGGGATGAACTTTCATTCGAAGAAAGGTGAATATATAGAATTTTATTATATCAAAATACGATAGTTTCATATAAAGAGAGCGGGAGTAGTGGTATTGGTACGTGCAACTTGATTGGCACTATGAATTGGCATTTTGATATTGTAGTTCCACTTCGAAAAAAATCAGTCTACTCTATTGAACGTTCTCATATATAATTTAAATACGCATCGACAAAAGCATTACATTTTTGAACCGATATAATTTTTAATCTAAGTTTCCCACTGTTTTACCTCATAATATCTGAGTAGTAATTGACAATATTCCAACAACCGAGTATTGTTCACCAATGTTCTATCCTAGGCATGTTTGAGCTGGAATGTGCGTATGGCAAACAGTTTTTAAATAGAATTCCAAATATTACCCTGATTTTAAAGCAAGAACAATGTTTTCAGGGTCACCTACTACTCCATATTTGGAAAATAAGAATAAGTTGGAAGAATCAATGAACACAACGAATCACAACTATTAAATAAATATATTTTTATTTCATCGTCTCCGCTTTCCTATTTTGGTTGATTATGTGTAGCCAATTTTATTCACATTTTAGCAAATTTGCTCGAATATTATGATTTTTTCAGAATATGAGCTTACATGATGTAAAATTGTTTCACCTGCAACAGTAAACTTTACTCTGTGTGCGACTGTATACAAATATTGTACATTTTACCTAAAATGAATAATTGATGATCTACAGATGTAATAGAAAATGAAACGTGCATATTAGTAGTATATTCAATGAGGTCACAACAACTTGTGATGATTTTTAATAAAGTATTGTAAATAAAAGTTAAAATATAGTTTCTTTGAGTGGAACGGAACAGATAACACAGCACACTCAATTAGAAAGTTTAGTACGTAAGCCGTCAATTCAGATCTGATATAAAAATGCCGTATGGCATTGTATCGCTCTATGCGCATGGTTCCCATCGGCTTCTAACGTATGACAGGCTGCAAATACTTATCTTGTTGCCAGGCAGTCTTACCACACGAAGTGCTTGGCATCTTAAATTACAAGTAACTCGTCGAGTAGGCTATACCATACAACAACACAAATGCAGAAGTAGGTAGCTAAGGTTTTGAATGTACGATATAGCCAATGTTACAACCTGGATTAGGAGATGAAATTTAGCTTGACTCCTGGTTAACCAAGGGTTGTTTCGATGATCTACTTGTGCTCACAGCTCGGGTTCGCTCCTGACGTCACTGGGCCATTGCAAAATTAGTCGCCCAAAGTTGCTTATTCATATCCAATCAGACCGAAACAAAATTATGCGTCGACGTAATGATTTAAACCGGTAACATTGCAATTTAAACAATCAGGGTCATGTTTCACTAGATATCAATAATGGATAACGTGCCTGGGGCTTTGCATATTGGTGTTACCTGTTAGTCAATTCAAGTATTAGATTCCTTAACTAATAAAAGTTGATAAAAAATTGTCTGATTTGATTCATGATTTATCTCACTCATCGTGATTGCTATAATACTGAAAGAAATACATACACTAATGGGCACAGATAAACCACAAACACACTCGCAGCTGTAATTTTGACAGACGAAAAGGTCAACACCATTCAATTTGTATACGGGATATACACCGCCATGAAAGTTTGCAGTTTCGCCTCTCATTATCACGCTTATGAGTCCCGAGGGAAAGCAGATAAGATAAAGTAAAGCGAAAGCGTGCCCATAAGTTCACTTTCCTCTGGGTTTGGAACTAAGGGACTTTTAAGTAAATAATGGGAGCTGCAGGATAGCAATTTAAAAAAGCAAGTGCATCCCGAACAATAGGATAATTCATTGCATTCTGATTTTCCTGAGACCACAGTGTACGCATATTCAGCTGGAGTTGCCAAACTCCTCACATTCCAGTGATAATAATAAATTGAATTACGATAATTTAATAATAGGTCTTTGAAGCCTTTAGCCGGATAAAGTCCGTAGGCTTAAATGTCGTGAAATAGACTTGATATAACTCCACTCTGTCTAGACTAGACTAGACTGCAGGATAGCAATTTAAAAAAGCAAGTGCATTCCGACCAATAGGATAATTTATTGCATTCTGATTTTCCTGAGCCCGCGGTGTACGCATATTCAGCTGGAGTTGCCAAACTCCACACATTCTAGTGATAATAATGAATTGAATTACGCTAATCTAATAATAAGTCTTTGAAGCCTTTTGCCGGATAAAGTCCGTAGGCTTAAATGTCGGGAAATAGACTTGATATAACTCCACTCTGTCTAGACTAGACAAAGCGGCATATCTTGCTGAATGAGGCAAAAGGTGTTTTGACTTTCGTAAGAATAATGAAAGGGATAGTTTTAGTCCCGAAGTTTTTAACCGATGGGCTATAGTTTAGCTTTAGTGGTAGGCCACGAAGCTGTTTTCAGTGGACCAGAGAACTTGGCATAAATCAGAACTAAGCTAACAGGAGACTCGTTTAATAATATCATCCTGATCAAATAAGTGCACAGTGCAAAAAGACTTGACCTGAATTTTGTGTTTGTGCCACAACTCTTACTTAACAATGATAAATGTATTGGGGGACTAATGACTTTCTACCCACTCATAGCGTGGGCGCTGCCACTGCTAGCAGTGGCTGACCGATGCAAGCGCTGTCGCTACCGGCAGTCGCCCCGACTAGCGGGATTAATATGATGTTTTGCGTATCCGTACGTGTGTACGACAATTTTCTCATTAAAGTTGCATGAATAACATGCTGATTAATATTTTGCCTGGTGTCCCTTTGCGCGTTTTTTTTTATCAAATAGAGTAGTTGCCATCATAATCTATCTGTTACAAGTCGCAAGCAGAAACCATCTGTTTTAATCCAGCGAGACTATATTGCAAATTAGCACAAGTTTACTAGATTTTTTGGATCTTTTTCAAGTGCCAAGGTTGTTCAGTTTGTGTTGTCTACCGACATAAAAGAAGAGTCCACCTTCCTTCAATTTCGTTTTTTTGTACATATAGATATACCAGAAGAAGAATAAGTGTTGCGATGGTTTCTATCAAAACTGTTACCTGGCGTAGTTTTGCTCATTCAGTGACATGGTCTGTCATTGGCTGAAATATTAGGACGACAGTGTAAATTAATTGATAATCATTTCATAGGTTGCGAATATTCTCATCTTGAATATGAATAAAGCTGACGGAAACAATTCACTTCTGTAACAAAATAAAGACTGGTAGAAATCCTCATGCAAATCTTCACGTTGGGTCAGTTGTCACCCCCTTCAATTAGGGATACATAAACAAACATCTAAAATGTACCACCAATAATGATAGTATTAGCAGTATGAGAGTAATACAGTAAATATTGTCATTAGTTGGCCTATAAAAAATCATCTATTTCTAATATCTTGCAAATATATGGTTATTAATTGCCGAACTGTTATTATATATTTATAATATCTTGCAAATGCAATGTACTCCCAGGGCGCGAATTAAAAGGTAAAGTATCGTCATCCCCTTACAGCTTTGGTGTGCGCGAATGAAGGGCTGGAACAAAACCACAGCAGCAACGCATCTCCCACTGTATTACCATTCAACGCTCATGTCAAACCGAGGTGAAAAGTTGAGCAAGTTTGAACTTAGTGGAATGATGCAAAAGGAGGTTGTTTCCTGTCTGTCAGTCATGCTAAAGTTTGAAAATTTTCCGCTTGTGCAATTCCACACTTAATGGCTACATTATATATTTTAACATCTCAGTATTATTGATTTGTCGATATAAAACATTTCTCGTTTAATCCTCAAAGTTCAGTTTCAAAAAATCGATTTTTGCTTCAATGTATCCTAAATGGGTTGAGCTACGTATAAGCGACAAATGTGAACTGTGTGGTATAAATCTGTTAATACACTATCATTTCACAAACCTAATTAAAAAAAATGCTGTCCAAAGCTGTTTTAAACTTTTTTCAATACAGTCCATTCCCATTTTCTGTTCCATAATTTCCATCCAAAGGGGCAATTTTCCCGATAAAAATCCATATACTCTGAAACTGTTTCACTCTCTAGAAGGCATGACATATTTATTTAATTCAGTTTCCAATCTGATTATCTCTAATCCGGCGTATGATTACAAATCGCAATATTATATATTGATTTGATTTTTTAATTTGCGTAATGTTATGCATTAGGATTAGGATATAAACATAATGCTTCAAATCCGTATGAGTTACCGTTGTAATGTTATGTCGAAAGAAGCTTCAGCAGAAAAGCAGATTGATGGGAAAGAGGTTTATCAGCATTTTATCTCAGTGAGATTTGACTTTTACCCTGGTGTAATATAATAATTATTCATGAAGTATGGCGTTCCATAGTTTTTTGAGGAATAATTCATTTTAGATATATGTCAAATTTTAGTGATGAGAAAGCGCGTGTAAATATCGTTTCCCTCTACCTTAAATTAAAAATTTATATTTCTGATCTAAATTACTATGTTACACGTTTGACTTGTTGGGCACAAAGTGTACCGATTATATTATGATTGCATTTTTCTTCCTGTTGTTATGAAAACATTGCGTTTCTATTTGATTACTGGACTAATTGATTTGAAATTTCCAGTGGTTAAAGATTGTTGTTGTCGCTAGGATGCTATTTATTGCTTTTGATTACTGGACTAATTGATTTGAAATTTCCAGTGGTTAAAGATTGTTGTTGTCGCTAGGATGCTATTTATTGCTTTTATTTATTTCAAAAATGTCTGTGGGTTATATGGGATTTTTTTTGTATGCGTTAATGTCATTAAAATTAATTATTGCGCACCTGGCGGTTCTACGTTCTCGTTCGTCGATCTCTGGTAATCAAACGAAGTAGGGAAGACTACAGTACCGGTAGTCTACTGTAAAAGATTTGTATCTTGTTATACTTTTAAATATATAGTAATTTATAAGGTCAAGAAGGGTTGATCGTTACCTCAACAATTAACTTAATTAATATTACAACATTGATAACTCGTGAAGATGTGCTAAATAAGATCTTTGTCTGGAATAACTGATTTAGTGTACGCGAAATAGACACAAGGATCGTTGTGCTAAATTCTCGTTGTTGTTGTTAGCCTTGTTGTTGGTGCCGGGAAGAAATCGCTTTTCTGCCTACGGAATTAACGGACCAATCGATTTTAAAATTTCAGTACTTGAAGATGGTTGAAGCCGCTAGATTGCTATAAATTTTTTCTCAAATTTTCTTTGAGTCATATGAGCTCGATAATTTACCGAAATATTTTTGTTTCAAACGGAACACTTTTTATTTCACAGTGCACACTACAGATTTTCTACTTTATGCCATGCCTAAATGTCTACGCTTTTCTTATGAATAATCCTTCAAAAATATCATCTGATAAATTGCCATTTATTGCGATATGATAATGCACAACAGGCAAAAGTTCATCCAATTATTTCACAAGTTCATGCTCGGGCCATGGTTGAAGTTCGTCAGGAGAAAGACTTCCGTGTTCCGCTTTTATTCCAAGTACTTATCCTCTCGTCATCGTTAGCATATATCCGTTCTGACTGCTGTTCGATATAACAAATACAATTCACTCATTCTATGTTAGACTGTGCATTCGAATGAATCAGTTCAGCTTCGAGCCGTTGTGGTTAATGATGAGATGCAGGCTGACCCGATTGAAACAGCCGCTAAAATAGTCAACTTATTCGTATTCAATTTGCCGGCTTTCAATTTTAAACTTTACCAGAACCTGTTGCTGTATAAATATTCTGCAATGCTAGATACTAGTGTATATTGGATGTTTATTGCAATAGTCTTACCAACCTTATTTCAACTTCCAAAAACAATGCATATTCGTTGATTGACCTAATTGTTAAACGGGTGCTTACCATATTTCTGAAGCACAAAAATCGGGACGGCGCGGATTGGAAAAGCCAACTTTGATTCGATTACAGGGACTTAGTAATAGTTTTAACGTTTCTCATATCATTGTAGGTAGATTACGGGCATCAAAATCAGCTGTGAATACTATTAAAATATGCTCTATATTGGTCTTCGCTTCAAATATTGGAAATTGTTCAACTCATTAGATAACTTGCACTAGTGAAGTGAGACGCAAATCAGTGGTGAATCGGCTGCTTCCGTTAAAAAAATTGTATTAGTACTAAATAGAAAAATTATTTATGACTGACATACTGCAAAATTGGGCATTTAAGTTTATCGCCGGGACGGTGGAAAACATGCTAAAACCGGGACGTATAGTAAGCCTAGCATTAGATGCACTCAGATACATACAGATGAAGCAGTCGTGAGAAATTATAAATTGTCTAAACTCATTAATTTTGTTAATTACTTCGAATAGAAGAAGTTCTCAGGCAGGTTTTTCTGTAAAATTTTTCTTGATTGCTCGAGTTGAGTTTGCCGATTAGGATATCCATGGCAAGGTGGTACAGTGCTAGCATTATGGACATGTCCACTGGCTGATGTTTTGAAAATTATCTTTGATCGTATCCATATCAGTCTTCTAAACCAGTCTTAAAATTTTTTCGTTGCGCTATTTAACTTGACGTCAATTCATATATCGGTCGTTTATTTATTAGATGTTCTCGAATTAATGAAAAAAATGAACATAGATCATGTGGAATAATATGTTTTTGTTTGTCTTTGGCGTTTTATTATATACGTTGTTGACGCGAATGTAGACCTTTATTGTAACGTTATACAATCCGTGTGAGAGGTAGTGAGAAATGTACACGTGATATAGTGATACGATAGATAGCAGAAATTGTATTGGTAAAATAATATAGAGAAAATTAGATATTCAAGTGAGTATGATTAAACGTCGCTTATGAATAGTGTAACGACTTTGTCAATATTTTAACTTGGTATGTTAACTCAGGGAGTGCCCTTTTGCCAAGTGCGTTCTCTGTGCTTTCAGAATATTACCTTTAAATCGTGGCTATGAACGAATTTTACCGTTTTGAAGTGTTGGCTTGAATACTTTTAGGTATTTCTGACATCGCTGTTGCATGGGACCTGCAAAGCACTCTGTGCGTCAATAGCCACCAGGGAATGTCCTTGTTATTTAAACCCTGGAGCATCAAAAACTTAGACTATAGCCATGGCCGGATTTGGACGATTAGAGGCCCCTAGGCTATTGCATTTGGGAGGCCCCCCTATCGCAATTACATCATAAACGCTCTATGTAATATATTGTGACGTCAAACTAGGGATTTCCTGTTTCCTGAAATTTAGTATGACGGAATAAATATATTTCCAAATTGCGTGAAATAATTTGAAATTTGAGTTTAAGGCAAAATAATATGTTAATCACTTATTATGTTAATAATATGATAATAACTTAAGTTTTGAAGCACTTTAGGAAACTGGAGGCTGTTGTAATACGGTGCCAGAAAACCTGACATCATATCACCGGTTTCAAATCGCCAAAGGTGACATGACCTGATAAATGAAGCAATAATGATAAATAAATTTATCATTCAATTTCTTTCAAATGAACAGGTCTGTGATAAAAAAGCTCCGAAAATAGTGAAATATATAATAAAACAAAAGAGCTAGAGTTTTGCAAACTTTGCCTTGTGGTAAATTCGGCATTCTATTGCATTCGAACACACATGTCAATAAATTTAGAAACGCTATTGAGTATCAGAAATGTGCATCGTTAATTGAAAGGTCGCGATTTCTGGTCAATACGAACGTCCTGTCATGGGACCTATTCCCACGTCAGGTTTTACTTTATTAATTTTTCTGCTAAGAATAATGAGATGCAGAATAGAGAGTATTAGTAATCTTGTCAATGATAACCAGTAATTAGATTGTCTGCCTATGTCGCGGTGCTGCTGTCGCTAGGAGTTATTCTGATCATTCATAAGAGTAATTGGCCGCAGAGTAGAAAATAACGCAAACGCAAGTTTGTTGTGCAGTCCCGCACAGTAAATCAGATGGTTTATCAGACAATTCGTGCCATTTTTAACTTATAACGTCGGAACCTTGAATTACTAAATTGCTGCATGTCGCGGTTTATCTGTTTATTAACTTCCCTCTTCAACATCTTTCACTGCTATAGTGTACTGTATAGAATTGTGTATAGGATAGGGTATGTCGGTTCAATTTTACTGTCTTTCCAAGGTTATAAAAATAAAATTGTCTTGATTTATTGCATTTTGAAATATTATTATCGACTCTCTTGTCTCTTCTTCTCTCTGAACCTCTGACTACTAAAAAAGACTCGGTTGGATGCGGGTTCTAATCCGTTTACCGTGTACCTTCGAGTCTAAACAGAAATTGTTATGTCGAACGTTTTTTTACCCGAGAACTCCAGTATATAATATTCACTACTACTTCGTGAATTCACGTCCACTTCCTCACAACTGATGTGACAAATTACGCAGAGAATGCGGCATCAGATCCATTTCAATTAATCTAAATAAATAAATCAACTGCAGTAGCTTCTTACGTGTGAGTGGCTGCGTGTTCCGAGCCGCATTGCTTGAGGAAATATTGTCAAATCGTTCATATGAACGAGGAAACGCTTTATCTTTTCCAATTATGGAAAAAAAATTTCTCCGTAAAAAGACATATTATGACTCATTTAGTCTTCAGTCTGGGACAGTTTTATTTATTGAAGGTTTACGTAGCTTCCATACTTCACTTGGTCTTGTAAACTCAATTCAGAATGTTTTTATTTTGAGAAACTATTTTCGTTTTGGTGCGATGTTCATGAAACTCTTATACGCTATCTGAGAGCATGAATGCAAGGAATAGTTAGAATTGTTAAAGAAAATCCGGATATTATCATTAGGACAATAAAGAGCTTTTTTTGTTAAATGGATTTGTAAGCGGTATTATGTGGCGTAATAAAAGAGATTGCTTTTAATGACGTCGTTGGGTCATATCAACCTATTCAACGAGTATGGAATTCATGTTTACCTAAATCGCTTAGCAAAGTTTACTTAACCGGACTCTGTATCTATCGCGTTTAAAATTCCATACCTACGATAGTTCTACTTTTTGTCTGGGAATGAACCCAGTGCGTTTGTACATTTCAGTCAATTCTCACTATTTAGCGATCTCTTGGAAAGTTGTAAAGAGAAAGGGATTTTTTATTATAGTATGAAATTGCCATCAAAGATACTTTTTGCTCAGTGGTGTTGAAAGTGAGTTGATTGTAAGGAATAGTTGCGCTGTGGATCAGCGATGAGTTGTTCTACATCATCAAAAATAAGCCAAACTCGAGCCTAACTTGGAAGTACAAAATATAAAGACAGCATGCAGTCTGAGATGTATAAATTGGCCATAACATTGTCAAATTGTCGTTCAGCCGCACTGCTGTTATCATGATCGTTTCTGGACGGAATCGCGACCAAGCCCTGCTGTCTGTCTAAACTTGCTAATCTGCATATCGGTAACCTAATTAAATCTAAGATATACGGGAGAGTGCATTTGTTAGATACAATTAACATCAATGAAGTATAAAATTTACTTGGCATCAAAATTTTTCAGCTTTTTAACATTATGATATTTTATGCAGATATTAGCTCCTAACGGTAGCTTCATTCATTGTTAGTTTCCTTCATGGATTGCTAATCTCTAGATGTTACTGTTACGTCACAGTGCTTAAATTATATCCGATAAATAAAATTATGGAAGATAACAAAGAAGGACTTTCGGTCAGACGAGGGAGCTGTGTCAGAAGCTTGCGACCTATTCTATCTCCAAAACCTTGGACAAATTTGTCGCAATTCGGAGAAAAAAGAACTGCCTCCTATAACTTTGATTTAAGGCCGAGTTTGAATTCGTCGCCAGCGAGAGAACGAAAACATTCTTGGAGAGACGACCCATCATTGAACGTTCATTTGGAGGCTGATATCGGTACCAGAACACAACCAAGGGGCATAAAGTCGAAAAGCTGGGCGGCAGGACCGGTATCACCAACTATCAGAAACAGGCCTTACCGAAAAATAAGCGCACCACTGCGTATACCGAATTCATACACTGACAACCATCCAAAGCCTGGACTACTTGTAAACGGGTCTAGAAGCGAACAAATAACATCACAAAACGTAGATAACTTTGGAATTTTTGAGAGAGACAAAAATGCATTAATAACTCGGAAAAGTAAACCATCAGATCAAAAACGTATCCGTCCAAAAGTGCGACATCACGGTTCAGAAAGTCGATTTCGAAGACGAAAAAGCTTTGAAGATAGAATCCATAATAACGGACGTTACGACTCGAGTTCGGAGGAAGAACAGAAGCAGATTTCACACAGAGATCGGAAATTTTCAAGTTCGTCAACTCCGAGTTCCAACCTAGCGGTATCTCTTGCAGAAGAATTGAATTCTCCGGTTTTGCAGAAAAAGCTGCAACGAGCCATTGCTAGAAGATCGAACAGCGAGAATAATTTTATTCGACAGACGAGGAAAATACGAGTAGAGGGTTGCATGTACAAATTGACAATGGGTAAGTTTTATTTCTTCATATTCCTGAATAGATGCCTTATTTTTTGTTCCTAACATTTATCGCTTGTATGACATTGCTAACTATATTAACCTATATAAAATTCAAATTACGAAGATCTTACAGGCGGATCTTTATAATTACTAAAAAACCTATGCGATAGAAGGTGACTGGAGCTCAAGGCTCTGAAGCTTGTGCGCAATTTGATTCGACTCCGTTCTAACGAACCCGGGAAATAATTAGGGCTGAGCATTTCCGAATTCCTGATGATTTCAGTATCAAATCGAATATTTTTTCGAATCGAACTACGAATACTTGGAAGATTGGTAATTGTTTATTAATTTTTTATTGTGATGGGTCATCCAGACATAGAATCCGCCACTCAGACAGTTTGCTGAGGGTTCACCACACACAATAAAAAACATGTTTCATCAACAACTCACTATGAGAAAGAGTCTTATGTTAGTTTATATTTAAAAAGATATGACCTCAAACAAAAAGAAATGACGGTTCACCTCGACCTTTGGCGAACAAAAAAAAAACAAGATGGTGGCGATTCTAAATTTTCGTTTCTACCGATTCGAATCACTTAATATTCGATTCGAAATGCCCGGCCCTAAAAATAATAAAGAGAACATCATAAAAAGACGCTTAGAACAAACCGTTTAGTTTTTCTTACCAATTAGTCTTTATTGGTTTACGATAGCGGGCAGTTATAGAGGCGACTGAAGTAGGATATACATAATTATAGTGGGGGGAGGCAGTGCTGCGTACTACCTATCCATAAATTATGGTCAGAGAAAAAGTCCTTTTAACCATTAGCTTAAATGGATTTTTTTTGAAATTCGTTTAACTATTTCGACCGGAAGATGTCTCGTTTTGGTTTTTGGGGGTTGGTAACACAATCGTGTTTTTTTTTCAATATTGTACTGTATCGGTATATGTGAACCGGGCCACTTGAATGTCCATAATGTTACTATACTTCGAAACATAATGCTTCGATAAAAGTTTATATAAAGTTATTCCTATATTATTAGTTTATTAGATATATTGGAATAAACAGCGTGATTTTTTGATCTCACTGCAAATTCGGTTCATTCGGTATTCATGTATGATCCCCAAGCTAAAAAGAAAACAAGAAATATGAAACTATTGTAATATATGGACGCCAATTGTTTCAAAGAAAAGCTCGTCTCATAACAGTTCTTTGTGTCATTGTGTATTATCCATAGGATTGGTAAGGAAAATGATAATATTATGGAACTTCCCTGGCTGTGCTATCAGTAAAGTTCAGTGTATATTCTGTTATTTTCTTGTTACTGCAGTACGAGAACTTAAAAATTATTGTCCTTCACTTCAGTAAATCCGATGCATTCGTATTTTGCTTGTTATGCAGAGAAGAGAGCACTCGTTTTAGCAATTTCTCTTGACAAGTTCGCCAGTGTTTTTACCATAAAATGTTACTAATTTCACACATTTTCTGATATAAAGGTTTGCTCATGATATTTGGCTATGTAAAGCGAGTAGCAGATTCGTCATCTGAGGGAATATGCCTAGTTCACTGATTGTATTATCGATTGTAACAGAGCTTATGAGAAGTATATTTGTATCTATGAAATAGTCGATTTACCTCAAAGCAGAGAAAATAAATAAAGACCAGTGAGGGTGTAACGATCTGTAGGAAAAGTATATTTTGATCAATTGGACCTCGGATGACCGCAGTTAAGAATACAATTTCATTTAAATTGATCCGGTTGAATTAGCGATTTGTTATTGTGATGTCATAGTGACTTTCATAACGGATATAATGTACAGTGTATTTATAAAATCCAGTTAGAATTTCAATTTTGTTATGAAGTAAGTTCTCAATATATCTTGATTAACCAGGTTTGTCAGTGTTTCTTTAACTTGTTTTACCACATTAAATGCACTCATATACAACAATCTATATATGGTATCGATAAAATCCCTTCGCAATTGACGTTTGACTCCATAAACAACCCTGTAGGCAATATCAAAATTCTTGGTATTTCAAGCATGAATGTATCTAGCTTTGTTTTATCGTATTATACTCGACATACTGACTGAAAACTTTTTAGTAAATAATGTTGCTGTGAGTGCACTCCAATGACGAGTAAACGAACTCTTCGCGAAAACAAGTCTTTGGTACTTTAAATGGGATTTATCCACTCGATAGCAATTCTTAGAAAGGTTTAATAATATGACCGACGGAAGCGGAACCTTGCATTTACGGTTCATCTATAAAAACTGAGCAAATTCTGCACATTGAGAAGGTTATTCGTTAGCAGTAGGTTGGAAATGATGCATTCTTTCCTGGTATAACACATCACAATTGATCATTGTTCAGTGGATTCAAAGAATTGATGGAAGTGGAAATTAGCATCAGTGTTTAGCCATTACACCTTCTGCACCGTTGCTACGCGGAAGCTGCGGAAGCAACGTGATGGTTATAATATGGTGGCGGACTGTTTACTCAATTTGTATGCCATGGACAGAACCATCATCATACATGGCCCAGACTGAAAGAATGTTTATTTTTGACTCAATACATGGTTATTTCTAATTCAACCAGGACTAATAGTGGCCCGATGTACTCTGTTCTATCTTCCTTTGCCGATACAATTTTGATTTTGAGTGAAATCACGATTCGGTCATTGGGTTCATTACAAAATCCAGTTCCTATTCACCAATGTAAAGGTCGTTTTATATTGTCTATGGACTAATTACAAGCGGCATAGGAAAATTTAGATAATCCCTTTTTATGAAATGATTTTTTTGAATTGAATATCGAATTTGAATAGACGTTTTTGATTCTGTTTTAGCCTCACCAGCACACACTGGTTATATCTTTGAAATAAGCTACAAAGTTTTGCGCAGCAAAATCAATCAATATTTCGCAACACCACGCACTCAGAAATTTTCAATCATCCTGCTTCAGACACACATAAGTTATTCTTGTAACGTTTCGATTGACGAAAGTCAGACAAGTAAACAGATATTTTCAACAATGATATAGGTCAGAGCTTACATGTTGTTTTAAACATCGATGATAGCTTAAATTCAGATACCTAGTTATTGCTACTTAGGTTAACGGAATTGTAAGTGAGTCGGGGTCAGGGACAGGGTTAGAAATGAGAATATAAACACCGTGAACGATGTTTGAAGATTGTATGTATTGTTTCATTGAGAAAGATTTATGATAAAATTGTAGGATAAAATTGGTAATCCTATACGATTCTAGTAAAAAGAAGAAGTATGACACATTTAGTTTAATGATTCAATCGAAAAAAACGACGGTTATTCGCTTGTTATGTGTCCATTTAACGCCATGGTATAATATGTATTACGTGAGCATTCTGTGTATTGTATCCCATTATTTCTAACAATATATAGTCGATATTGATTTCAAAACTGATTCAATATGAATTATTCTTTACACGACATAAATTGACCTGGTTTCCTTTACCGAATCAAGTTAACTTCTCGAGCGTTTTTAAAAGTGTTTATGCTGATGCAATTTCGTTGCCCGCAAATTGGATTAATCATTTTTGGCTTCAAGTCCGAATTCGTAAATAATTTTAACTATTTTGAAAGGTTATACATCAAAATTATCTCTTTTGCTATACTGATAAGGTCATAATTCATAAAACTACTAAATACGATCATGCTTGATCATGCTCGCCAATGTCGATGATATAAGAATGATTTATATGTAGTTGAATAATCATGAAATACTAATCGTGACTAAATAAATGCATAAATAAATAAAATGAAAAATAAAATCTGCTAAATAAAATTTGGCAGATTTTATAATGTTGACGCTTTATGAATAAATTTGTAATTGGGAGTGGAATTTCATTAAATATCTTTAAATACCAAATTATTTTGATATTTATTTTGTCATGAATACCTTGAAAGTTAAGTTAAACTTTACTGCTTTTTATACCATCTGAATAATTGAATTGTAATTTTTCTTTTCGCTAACCTTTCATAAAGAGGGCCGCATCGTACATTTTATTTTGTTGTATTTCATCATTGCGCAATATTTGTACATGGAATTGATACGCCGCATTTATATTGACTTTAAGGCCTGTTACAACTTTCACAAATCAATCAATGGAAAATGGTAGTTTATTTTAATATGGGGTCTTTATGAAGCAATTATGACGAAACTATTCCTCTCTTTACAATCCGTCTCCAATCAATATATAATTACAAACGGAAGATATGAGTGCGGCGTTTTAGAGTTTGCTTCCGGAGTTTACTATTGTATAGTTTAGGCAAAAATATATCAGTAGTTTATACGAGTTTGTCAACCATTTAGTATTCCAGTAATTTGGTTTAAAAACGTATATTTTGGTTTCGAATTTGACTGCCAAAGAGGCCAACATTATAAATCAACCCTTTGCTCTGAAATTACGTCTGAGGCAGATCTTTTACTCTTACGGTATCATTCACTAGCTGTACAACTTTATTCTTTCACCCTTGGCAGAATTGGCAGTAGTCTTTATATTGGAAAAAATTCTGCCAGAAGCAGATAATTAACTAATAGCAGGTTGAATTTCGTGACCAAATTTTTTAATACATTGAGATTTATAAACAGCCATTTATGCGTCACCAATATGTTATAGTTATATACACGGCTATAAACAGTAATTAGAATTATTGATATTTATGGGTAACCATATAAATAAATTCATACACATCTTCTAATGTATAAACAAAATATGGGCCGACATACATAAACTACATGTCCGTGGGCAATTTAACAAGGTAAGTAGGCTTTAAATACTTTTCAAAATCATGTAAAACTCAATTGCATTTGGTATTGTTTTGATTTCATTGGCATCAGTTCACCCGAGCATACACATTGTTATGATATTTTTTTGACTCAGTTGACATACTGTTACATGAAATTTTCATAGTAATTTACGTAATTTTTTTACCTCATCTTCATTCACACGATGGAATTTGTCAAAAGC